TTGATGGTACATATATCCTATCTCCTAGCGAGTTTATAATTTTGCAATGTCTGTCCGTCTACCGGTTAGCACGATATCTCGAAAACGAATGGACCGGACCGATTACGATGAAATTTTGCAGGTGGATTCTTTATTTGTAAATCGTGAATTGGAAATGTAGCTCAAAAAATAAGGAAGGCTCTTTTGACATCTCCTTTTGCTATGAACCGAATTGCGTGAAATTCAATATGGGCATAGATTTAGGCATATAATACGCAATGGCAATGTTGAGCCTAATCGATCCACACTCACAGTGCCCTTTTCGCTTCTCGACAATTTCTGAATCGAATCGCAAACTTTTTTATTTACAGTGCGCGTTATTTGGGTACTTTATGAACAAAAATGACGAACAGTTTTTCAATATGAATATGTACTTACACCTTTGGAATGAAATTACTACTGTGTATGAGACACGAAGTGCGTAAGCGCAAAGTGCATTCCTAGGTAGGTACTGTTAAATGGCTAAGGGAGGGTATTAGTCAATGCTAATATTCTATAAAATGGTCAGTCTAAAGCATTTTTTTTAAATTTTCGTTGATAATATAGAACAATTAATTTGTAAAATCATTAAATAAGTACACAACCTACTATTAGCATAGATCGCGTGCCATTTGTTGCAATCGCATGCAAAACGAGAACACGAATGCTTCTGAATTACTATTCCTTTGGCTCGATAAGTGTTACTTGGCGTGTGTTTTCAAAGTGGTTTAATAACGCTTAAAGTTAAGAATTGAAAATTCCTCTAATTTCAACAAAAATTTAATAAGCAAAGATGGCCTAGTGTGCAATATGTTCTCAAAGCTATTTCCAAGAGGTATTCTATTTAATAAGATAATAGATAAAAGGAATATAGAGATGTTAAATACACCACAGCCATCTACAAAAATTTCTAGCACAACGCTGTAATTAAGGCTTTATACAGGATGCTTCCAGAGCATTGTGAGTGAGATTATATTTATCATCCAATATACCCTAAACGAGGTATGGAACAGAGTTACAATACAGATAAGGAATAGATAGTGAGCGACATTTTTCAGCGTCCGGAGTGCAAAAGGAGACATAATATACAGAGTGAGACACTGAGACAGTGAGTGATTAGCTTATCCTTCATGTCACAGATGTCTCTTCAAAAAAGCAAACCAATTTGGTTTGAAATTCCTTTCACAGTGACACACAAAAACGCGCTGTATATATAAACGACCTCTCATTTCCGCCCATCAGGATTAATTATGTATAAACAAAGGTGCAACACACATAACCTTATAACAATGTTGTATATAAACAATAATTACATACCGCTTCTCGATTGCTGGCGATTATTGTGTCTATGACCAGTATTACCATCACAATCATCAGGAAAAAACGCTTTTCTATTCAATATGTAACCATTCAAGTATGGGTCATCCATTTTAACACAAAAAACACTGAATTATGAGGGTAAAATCAATGTTCATAATAAAAGGCGCACCTTAGATACGTAAACTGTCGACGTTGTCGGCTACTGTATGTGGCGTTGCGCAATTTACAAGGTATCGTTCGTGTATTATATACTAGCAGATTCGCTGCTTATGGTGTGGCCTTATCGCATTTACGCGACAAAATTATACACGCAAGAAGATTATTTAATATATGTACAGCATAGTATGTATTGATTTTGGCCCGATCTGTAATCTGCGCACTCACTGAATGAAATAATCCTCAAGACTCAAGTGTTTTTATAGTAGACTTGTTCTGTAATAATAGGCGTCTTGAATGAGTTTTGGTAATTAAATAAATAAATAGAAGCAATTGCTCGTAATGTCTAGAGCAAATAACTCTAATTATAGCTAATATGAATCACAAACAGCACTTTTATATCTGGATTGCATAGCGCACATCCTATCTAGGCACATGTAGCTAATTAGACTTTAATATTAAAGAAATTTATAATACAAGTGACACAAGAAGAGCATACATTCCTATTCCCCTACGTTCTGTTTTATTTCATATTAATACACTTGGCCAAAATTAAGCTTACAGTACTTAAACGGAAATGATTTCATTAACTCTTGTTGTAATCGTAAACAACATTTAAGTACGTACTTAAATAAATTGTAGAAATCAAAACGGATTTCGGGATTGATTTCAAAACGCCACAAAAAATAAGAGAACGAAGAAGCAAGTGAACGTGGGCGTGTTAAAATACGCTGAAAAGGGTGTTTCAAAATTCTCCTTTTCAAATTTTAACAGGTCCGCAAAGATTATTTTATATCGTGCATTTGAAATAAGAATGACACATATCATTAGAATGCACAATCATTTGTTTCACTTTAAGGTCTATTCGCATTTTACGGAACGTCAACGTCACGTCACGGACCGGCAACGTCACGTAAATCTTGCTGCCAATTCACACTTTACGTCAATAATTTCTTAGGATGGTTGCGATTGGATTTTTTATTCTGGACCATCTGTTCTTATTCTCAGATTAAATAGAAGAACATTAGCATCAGCGTCACGCCAAAGAAATGTTTGAAACTTATCTAGACGGTTCGTGACGTTGACGGTGCGTGAAAATACATTCTTGCATTCTCTAAAAAAAAAAAATTATTGTTTTAAGAAAATCATGTAGTTTTTAGGTACTTATGGTATTATGACAGATTTATTCTAGGATTTATTTGTTTATATGTATATGCGCATCGGAACGATAAATTCGCGCAGGTATTATTTTATTCGGGAGACGATACGAAAAATAGAGATTCAAAGCTTGGAAAAGGGGAGATCGTGCGGCAAGTCAGATAATTATTAGATCTCGAGAGTCAAAGGTTATGGTGTTGTTGGTTTCGTATGAAACGGCACGGGTAGTTTGGCTCAAATTGCATTTTTAAGTAATCATGGAAGTAATTTCAATAATAATAAGTGCTAGCAGCGCGGACCTGCGGAACACCTCCGGAAAAATTGCAAAAAAGGAATACAAGGCTTGAAAGAAGGATCGAAAGACGAGACGTTCGCGAGCGAGGCCCTCGGCGCGGAAAATTTCCCAAAAAATTCTGTAAGCGAGGTCAATCTAATGACTAGTAGCACGCTTCAAAGTTGGCATGCAAAATTCGGACATCACATCATCACACGACACGTCAAGAAAATTTTGAAAAACCAAGAATTAGAATTCATAGAGGACGAAGAGTTTTGCAGAGAGTTGGATGCGGATTGGCAATGAAGAAGGGAGAGCCAGTTACCTCGACCAGGAAGGTCAAGATGAGGCGTTAAATTTTTAGGATGCAAATCGACTACCTTGAGAAGGGTATAACAGTCAACCACTCAGTAATTGATTTCCCACTTCTCTTTTACACCTGATTTGCCCAGTCAGGTTTTCACCTGTTCCCAAAATTAATCTGACTGGATTATGGACTATAATGTAAAATTGCGATACATATTTCCCATCTCATTCGTCGAAGCTTCCTGCCCCTCTCCCCCCCGTTCTCAGTTGGAGGGGTGTGAAATGTGGTAGACGTGCGACTCTAATGCCAAATATCACGAACTAGATATACCTACTACAACTGTAAAAATCGACTACTTTTTACGAAGTTGCTATGGAGTACTGGCACATCTCGATGCCTTTTAACAAGTGGCGTACCTATCGATATATCGGTGCCTGGGTTGTCTAAATGCAGCGATACTGAAAACTGGAAAACCAACGTATTTACGTAGAAAACACAATGAAATCTTGGTCTTGCCGTATCTCTGTGCATAATTAGGAGTCTGATCAGCATAATTATAAAGGCACAATCGGTTGTAATTAGCTATAAGTAAATGCCAATACCCATGCTTGACTGGAATTCACCTAATCCGAAATGCATCTGTAGAATGCTGTTAAGTAATTTGGCAAATAATCTAACACATCATATAATTACGGGATGGATGCAATAAATGAAAGACAAAAGAAATACTTTAGCTAAGTTGCTAAGTAATTGTAGCAATAATCATAGTAACTATTCGAAACAAAAAAACCGCCCCCCCCCCTTCTCTGCGGCGCTGACGGTGAGACTTCTAAAATGTGCGTTCTCGTCAGGCGCGTCACTGCAGTCCTGATAGATTCTTCGCGTTCATTCAATTAAAGAAAGTATAACTGAAGCCCCAGCTTCTCACATCGCCACAATCATGCGCAGCTCTGCTTGGTGGCAGATTTGTTTATGTGTATAGGTATATTAATTTAAATTATATACATTTTAGTTGCATATAGGCTTATTTGCGGGTACCGATGGATATGGGCGGTTAAAATGATTGTACAGGGGTACCCTGTAGTTATGTATGCTGGTCTTCGTGACTTCCTCAAACATCATTAGCTACGACATATCATTTAGGATTGTAACAACCCATTCATAGTTCATAATGCCCACGACCTGTGCACATCCAGACCGACTCTGCACCACAACAGTTCTTTCAGTATAAAATAGATTTGATTTGATGTGTAAATCATGCCACCGTCACTCTACTCCAAACGTGCTGCCATTCCTCATAATGCCTTTGCCACCACCTCGGACATAATGAGATTTATAATTGTGGGGTGTGCCGACACCGACACGCTAGGGCGTCGTTGAATAGGGTTTCTGACCAGCATGTCTGCCCTCATATTCACTATTTTGTCCATCATCACAGAGGATTATACCTATAATACTATTTGACCAAACCAATCTTTCCTTCGCTACGGTTGTCGTTCCTAGGCTTGTTGGCGGATGAATCCTTCCTCTGCAGAAGATGAGTTTAAAATTCGATCTAACAAAAGTTTACGATTTTACCTTGGGTTTGTTAGCGTACCCGTGTCCAAGTGGCGTCGCTCCGAACCTGTTGAATAATAAAAATAGTGTGATTTATTGCCCAACCGAATTAAATTACAATTAGCGGACAACTATAAGAATACAGAGAAAGCATATCATACCTTCCGTAACAAAATTAAATGAAACTAAACCCTTCTAAAATATCTAGCTACCTATATTAAAAATGAAACGTTACACTAAAAGATACAATAACTATAATAAGTAGGTATATTAACAAGTTAAACAAGTAATCCTTAACGATTTACAAAAAGCGCATTTCCACTTTCATACGCATTTCCCATTTGTGAGATGCAACTTCTGCTAAAATTTCGTAAACATCCCATCACAAATAGCTATAAGAAAGTTAGCGTAGTTGTACATATGTGCAATCCATTTTTGACATGCTATTTCAATTTCAGTTTATAAGAAGCATCCTTCGTTGGAAAATGCGCTAAAAATTATATTACATTAATTTTAATTAAGGGTAGCTCCGAATACCATTTCCATATGTGTTTGTTTACATGATCTTATGTGGGATCATGTAAGAACAGGCATATTCCATGTGATACTAAGTATCATTTGACCCGTTTTTTTAAAAGTATAGCCCATATGTATACATTGAAGAAAATATCATGTACAATGCAAAGGATAGATTTTTTGGAATTGAGATAATTACAAAAAAACCGATTGTAAGTTTAAATCCAGACTTTATCTCTTACTATACGTTTGTGGCTTGTATACTTGTAACATATGTTAACATAATAAATAGCTATTAAAAATTACAGAATTATATTGCATCTCAAACTTAGTACCTAATTCAAACCACATCCAGCAAATGCTATGGTTATTATTTCTTTACAGTAGTTCGCGTTTATTGGGCGGAAGCATTTCTTTAATAATTATTATTCAATAACAGTGAGTGTTTTTAGTTAGCCACAGCTGGTGGACTGTCAGTTTCTACGCCTCCCTGCGGCTGAGCATCTTCCTCCTTATTTTTTTCTTGTGGCGTATAATCACCTTGATTTGGTTCCACCTGCAGCTGTGACTGCTGTAACCCGTTCTCATCAAGCTGCTGTGGTGAATTTTCGTTGTAATCAACGAAAGCCTGACCATCTGTGCTGTACCCTATCAACTGACCATTTTCGTCATATTGCCCATTCACGTCGTAAAGACCGATCGGCTGGCCATTTTCATCATACTGCATTATGGGTTGACCGTTTTCGTCATACTGCATTATGGGTTGACCGTTTTCGTCATACTGAAGTATCGGCTGGCCGTGTTCATCGTACTGTAAGCCATTGTTATAGTAGTGGTGAATAGGCTGGCCGTTTTCATCGTACTGTTGCAGAAGCTGCCCCTGTTCGTCGTATTGCAGAAGTTGTCCATGCTCATCGTATTGTGCGTATTGTCCAGTTTGATCGTAGTATTGAGGATCAGTAGCGCTGCCGGAATAATACTGTATAGGTTGTCCATTTGCATCATACTGCTGAATACTTTCATCATAGTGCAGTGGCTGTCCGTTTTCGTCGTATTGAAGTGCAATTTGCTCGTTTGCGTTTTCATTGTACTGCAACGGCTGATCGTTTCCATTGTATTGTTCTAAAACTTGCCCGTTTTCCTTTTGATGTGAAGTCTCAGGCTTTTCATTGTCGTGTTTTAAGATTTCAATTTCGCTGTCATTACGACTGTCTGTATGATCTTCTACCACTGGCTTTTCTTCCACTTGCGGGTGTAGTGATTGTACTTCGTCATCGACTTCCTTTCCTTGTGGCATCATACTTTCTTGTGGCTCACTGTCAACAGTGCTCAATTGTTCTTCCTTTTCATTTCCTTCTTGATGGGTGGTTTCTTTTTCTTTCACTACTTCATGTTCTACTGTGCTAGATGCAGATGTGTCAATATTTCTCTGACTCTCATCGTATCCCAGAGATTCAGTTACAACAGGAGGAATATCTACGTCTTCTTTGAACGGTTCCACCACTGCCTCGGTTTTCTTCATATCCGGCGATTGGATGTAGGTAGGTTCATAAACTCCCGAAGAATGTGGTTTGCTGGAGGTGGTAACTGCTGATGGCGTAATTCTTGAATGCATAGTACTATTATTTTCTAGAATGGATGTAGTGTGGGTAGGTTCAGAAACTCCCGAAGAATGTAGTGTTCTGGATGTGGACACTACTGATGGAGTAATTCTTGAATGCATAGCTTTATTATTATTTTCTGGAACGGATGTCGTGTCACTATTTGAGAAAACCGGTTTGATCGTAATAGGTGCTTTTACTATTTCTATTTCTAGCGGCTTATGTTGATCCACCTGTGAAATCTCACTGGGTTGTGGGTTATCTTTATTTGTTGTTAGAACGGTTTTTGTATCGCTAATTAATGGAACGGGTCTGATCTCTCTTTGGAGCGGCTGATAATCCAACGACTTTTCAGTAGGAGGTGTATCATCCTTTAACAATCTCCGTAATGAACTATGTACCTCCAGAGTGGTAGCAAGTGGAGTTTTGTGAGACAGTTGATCACCTAGTTCTAAATAGTCATACGAAAGTAATGGCGGTTTACTTTGTTTTAAAGAGTTTTCCAAATTCTTAGTGCTTTTAAGAGGTGTGTAGCAAAAATCACGCTCCGTGCAGATTTTCTCGTCATTCTTTTCGATGTCTTTTGAATCCTTCCAGTACATTGAATTTACATTGCCCAAGTTGGAATACTTGCTTTCCGGGGGAGGTTGCACAACTTCATTTGGTATTGTAGTCATATTATTCTTCAAGTAATTATCGACGGCACTGTTTCGTATATCAGGACGGATCGCCGTTTCTTCTCGATCGTACAAGCACGTTTGTGGTCCCATTGGATAACGGTATCGTTTTTTAAGTTCTTTAAATTTGTCACTTTTTGCTTTCCAAATTTGAGAGCGGTTTTCGATTCGTTCCAAAGCGTCTAAAATTTTATCGTTCCTTTGCTGCCTCAGTCTATCTTCTTCCAAAAATTGTTTGTACTTCGCTCGCAACTTTTTGAAGTGGTGTTCTTCTCTAGAAATATTAACAATTTTTATATGCCTAGGCGTTTTGGTAAAATACTCACTCCTCCTTCATCACTTGTATCACCTCATTGTACTTCATTTCTAACTTTAAGCGCTCTTCCTCACTGTAACAAGTGTGCAAATAACCACGCGTGCAATACAAACAAAAACATCAAACCTTTGGCGAAGCTTGTCCTGAAGTTGGATAACTTTCTCATAATATTCTTCCGTAGAGAACGGCAAAGACATGATTCATTCGTTATGCAGCTGAAATATCATAATAAATTCCTGCTGTTTAACTATAAAGCTTACCTTAGCGTGCGTTCACGTTACACAAATACACCTGCCTACACTCCCAATCGATATTACGTTTTCACCTGCAAAGTAATTTGACTAAACGAAACCAAACCTGGGAAATAATGCCGAAGACTGCGGTTTGAGCTTATTTGGGTAAATAAGATACAATTCTATTTGTTTGCGTTTATTTATTATGTTACAAGGGCACACGCGATCCTGATGTACCGTTGGTACCAGGACGATGAAGGATAATAAACTTGACCTTTTATCATAAAATTGTATATGCAGATAGTAGATATTCCTATCTAAAACCTTTAACCTTGTCAGAGCTTTCGTGCTAATTATCCTTTTGCATGGGGTAGGTGCAATAAACGTCGTATATACAAACTGCGCATCAAAAATTAAGTTTTGCGACGTGTTGGAACGTCGCGTGACATTTAAAAATGTGACGTTAATTTTGCAATTGTCTTTCCACATTCGCCTATATGCTTCAATCATCCTATATGCCAATGTATACGTTGCCATTATGCAGTCTTTTTTTAATTTGACAATATAGGAAGTGTTCTGTCAAGCTTTGGTTATTCCTTTCAAAACAATTTTTATAGAATTTACTGGTACAGTAACTAGATATGCTACTTCTGCAATGACTCAAACAGTTATCTGGAAAATGATTTGAAGAACAGATGCTTGGCAAAAGCGTCAAATCAAACTCATATACGAGTATTATCAAAATCAACAATGAAGTGTGTGTTTCCATCAAGTAGGAACATTAATTCATTCAAATAAACTACATGTTATACTGTGTTGCGATATGTACAATATACTTACGGTTACGTATGCCAACTAACACAATATAGGTACCTCAAATAATCATGAACCACAGATTGGACGATTGGAGATTAATTTTCTGATGAAAGTATCTCTAGGATACACGGAGAAAAATGTATGTTAAAGGTAATTAAAAATATAATAATAGCTATCAAAAAATATAATACGTATTAGGGATAGCTATAAATTATAAAATTTATCATATACATATTGTTGCAAGTGTATAGCTAGTTTTACTATAGGTATATTGTTTTAAGGCGGCTAGGGACAGGCCATTCAAAATTTAAGCTGCGCCTACGCAAATAATTATATAGGCAACCAATTGTGCAATTCGTCAAGTCTCACCAGGCATAAGCTACCTGCAAATGACCTCATTTTCCTACAATAAAACCAGATTCCAGACCCTCATTAGCGGCTATTCAACAAAAGTAACTGATTTATGGAATTTCAACTCTCTCCTGATGTTTTACAGTTTTACTAATACTGGAAACCTTTGAATATAGAATAGGAAATCAAAGCTGAAAGCTCTACATACCTATATAAAAATATTACTAATGTATTACCATTGAATTTATAACTATCAATTCAATGGTATTACTTTCTAAGATATCATTCTGCCAAAAATCGACTGCACCAAAATTTCTCGGGAAAACACATTTTCTTATTAATTTTGGTGCGTAGAGTCCAAAACAATTCGTGCTTTTTCGATCAGACTTCTCAATCAAAAGTTATAGACTAGAAACCAATTTCGAAAGAAAATTCAAAGGGCTGTAACTTTTGAACTAGTAGCCCAATCTTGGAACTGTTTGAAATTATGGATTCTACAGGCCACATTCTATAAGAAAATTTTTTTTCCGGGTCGATCTGAGACAATTTTTTTTTCGGGCTCAAAAAAAGGCAGTGTATAACCTTCCTTTTTTACCAAAAATCGACTGCACCAAAATTTCTCGGGAAAACACTTTTTCTTATTAATTTTGGTGCGTAGAATCCAAAACAATTCGTACTTTTTCGATCAGACTTCTCAATCAAAAGTTATAGACTAGAAACCAATTTCGAAAGAAAATTCAAAGGGCTGTAACTTTTGAACTAGTAGCCCAATCTTGGAACTGTTTGAAATTATGGATTCTACAGGCCACATTCTATAAGAAAATTTTTTCCGGGTCGATCTGAGACAATTTTTTTTTCGGGGCTCAAAAAAAGGCAGTGTATAACCTTCCTTTTTTACCAAAAATCAGGATACACATATTGGTTTCGAATATATAAAATATAAGTTCAAAAATCATGATATATTGCAACAATAACGTATAATAATCAATATAATACAGTTTTGTTGTACTGCCATATTGTATTGGCCCAACCCTCAAAATCTCTGGAACATCACTCATCATATTATAAGTGGTATAGAATTCATCTATAAACTTCACCAAAATTGCGAGCCACATACACATACGCACTGAACTGACTGTCGACTGAACAAGAACCGCATACAATATTCAATACTAGAGCTTTTAATAAATTAATGCAACCTTTGGAACGGTTGTTCTCAAAATAAGCTTATGCTTATCTTGCAGATTCAGCATCATTATAATTACATCATATGTTAAAGGTTATTATATGGGTTGTTAAACTAACAATCTTTCAACCGCAAGGTTTTCATTTAAGAAAGCGTTATATACTGAACTGTATTATACACAAATAATAAACCCATTTCGTTAGTAAACTATATTTTAATGTTTATTATCTATTTGCTCTTGGATATATTTAAATAGGTATCTAAGATCATATTTAATACAATATCATTATTATAGGTAGTGAGAATAATTTTGATTAGACATACTTATTCATATTGTACAGCGTGTATCAAGGTTTGTTTGATTTAATAATAACTTCTCGTACTGATTACAATATAATTTTTACTATATGATCTTAACAATCCATTTTTCTCCGTGTAGCCATCTTGTTGTAGTTGGGTAGATGCTCGATTGTTAACACAGAGTTAGTATGAAGGGTGTAGCGCTAAGAAATTAAAAAAAAATTCTTACAAAAGGGAAAATTTTAATGATTGAATGTTGGAAAGAATGGAAGTTTCAAAGGATTTGGGAACCAAATTCACAGATAGATTGTAAAGCATCCTATAAAAAAACCCATGAAAGATTTTAAAGCTTTTTAAGAATGGAGACTGTTGAACAAAAAGGTAAAGATGGCAGGAGCAGGAGAATACAAAAAAATATGGGGGTACGGTTTAATTTTAATTTATAAATAGTGGGGGTAAAGCGGGTAATTGTGTATTGGGTATTTCAGAAATATGCAATAAAAGTAATGATATAATTTTTTAATCGGTATTGCAAATACACAATACTAAATTCATTTTCGGAAGTATTTGCAATGCCAATAGACAATTCATTATGTATTTGCAATACGTAAGTATTTAAAATATCTACATGTTTTTGAAATACTGCCCAGCCCTGTCTATTATGGTGATGTCAAAACTTTAAGCGCATATATCCCGAGAACGGTTTATCCAATGAATAAAAGTATTTTTTATTCATTGGGTTAATCGGAGGAAAGTACGCATACGCACAAAGGTAAAATGAATTGTCTGGACGAGACATATCTTCTATAGGTAAGTTGAAGTGTCGGTATAGGGTACAATAAATGGCAAGTGGAAGTGGAACGTCAGATGAGACATATCAAAACTTTCAGTGCAAATATCTGCAGAACGGAATGTCGGAGAAGAGTACTCTCAAAGGGCAGAAAGAACGTCTAGACGAGATATAACTACTGGCGACGTAAAAACTTCTTGTGAACATCTCGGAAATGTTGGAGGAAGGTACAAATGGACAATGCAACTTTTTGGAGAATTTTTTTAAGGGCTTGATTCTTGTTGCATTATATAGCGTAGATTTTGATTGTATGCCAATTGACTGTCAAATGTTTATGTGTAAAGAGCCCCCTCTCCATTATAATCATCAACCATGAAAGAAAACATCTTTAAATATTGCATGCTATTAATATTAATGTACCTTATATAACGCAACCCTTTTTACTAAGCTATTTCGGTTTTAAAAAATGTGCTTTACCTGCATACAATTTTAACTTGTTTTATGATATGTACTGTTGCATGCAGAAAATGATTTTTTTTAACCTAAACAGTTAAAAATGTCTTCAGCACAGCTGCAAAAAAAAACTGATGTGGCATTAAGTAGGTACCACGTTTCTGCTGCCACCAAGGCGGTGAAAAACCGTACCGCGTTTGGAACTTAGTTAGGCAAAACGTACCTCATTTCGCCGTTGTCCAATAAGAGTGGCCATGTCACGACGTTCTGCCTAAATGCGTACCGGTATACATATGGTTTAATGTTGTTCGTAACCATTGAATAAGTAAAATTACTTATTCAATGTCATAAACTAGTATACTAGTACACCTCAATTTTCGATAAAAATAATTTGATTTGTCAATAGTGTTCACAAAACTTAAGTTACCATATGAAGACTGCAAATCAATGATTCTGAGAACACTAGCATTTCAACTTGAATGCCAAAAGTTTCAAAATTTTAAAGTCTGAGAGTATACTAAGTATTTTAAACCGCGAATATGGCAAAAATTTCAATAATAAGGTTTTTAAGCTTCACACCATGTTATAAAATCGTGGTGCTTTCAAGTTTCAAAATTTTTAAATTGAAGGACGCATAAAAGTATAAAACGCGATTCGGATCATCTCCAATTGGGAGATTTTATTAGCTTACTCGATTTTCACTGGAAACTTTGGATTTTAAAATTTGAAGCGTCACGACTGCATGAGGAATAATTTAAAGCAGGAAGTTTACTGCAAGTAAATAAAGTATTTATTAAAGCATTTCGTTAATGTATGAACTCTTATATACAAAACCTACATAAAATATAAAATGTACAATTGACAGAAAAATACTAAAATAAATTCGCTTTTTGTGTAAATCTCGAAACAATTCTGAATATTGCACAAAACCGATTTACAACTTGCAATTGATACAATAATCACTTTTCGCGTAATGCACTGCATTTACAATATCACATAATTGAATTACTTTCACAGCAAAAGGCGTCTATTAATAAAATGAATGAAAGCAGTCAGGTACACAACAATGTTGTACTTAATTAATATACAGATTTTGCATGTTTTGAACATTCAAGTCACAAGCTACTTTATACAACTCTTAATTACTATAAAACTTAAATATAATGCAATTTGATCGGTATACTATCACAAAATTGGAATTATTTATGTGATGATCCGGGAATATTTTCCAATTTAATTGACAAAAAAGATACTGACAAAATCCCTGCATTTCCTTTAGAAATAATTATCGTAAATAAACGGTGCAGTCTTAATTTACCCACCCAATACATATTAAAGCAAAAATCACACTAATTTTCTACCGATTTTAGCTAGTTCCGTATTTGCCATTTTCAAATACCCCTTTACTAAAGAACGACGAAAAATTAATTAAGTCTACTTTACTAATTGTGTTTCCATATGCTAAACAACAGGATGGATGAGATTTACAAACTTCTATTAGTCTCCTTAGGTAAGTTTCTAACTGCCGTCTTCTAGACTGTGCCACGTGCTCTGAATTTGCAAATAACTGCCTTGGTGGAAAGGGAATTTGGGCCACCTTAATGTTATAAGTCAAAAATAGGAAATGGGAAACAGTACCTACTGGTAAGATAATAAAAAGTTCCCTTAACCTAATTAACATAACATTTGTATAAAAATCTATAAATCTATAAAAAAGTAAGATTCACGGGGGTTAAATCCCTTTCTCGTTCTCTTACCCTGAACTGAAATAAATGCTTTTTTAGAAATAATTGTTATCAGTGTGGCGGATCACACAGCTCATTGGCTGTGACGTCACAGGGGGCGGGCTTTAACATGGTACACTGATTTTTTCAACTGTTATGTTAAGTGTACTTTTTATCATCTTATATTGCGATACCTTTTACTCACCTTCTCTCCATATCTGGATTTCATTGATATATGCAAATCACGGAAACGACTGTAGCGCCGTAACACACTCCACCATTCCCTGTACGCTGTCGTTATCCGGACTTCGTACTCGTAATGAGTTCGTTTCCCAGCACCTCGTAGAAAATAACCCGTAATTGATATAAGTGATTCGGTGTCGCTGACTGGAAAGCATCACTCGATACATTGTATAAAACGGTCTCACTTACCTTGAGGAATTGAAGGCATCGACCTGTACATGTTGTAGTTCGATAGCGGCGACAACTGATTGTTTTGCAACTAAAACACGAAGTTAAGCTTGCAGTTGTTGGAGAACTGAAAAACGTACCGTAGGTGAGTACAGGGCAGAGGTAGATCCTCGGTGTGCCGGTCTTACTGGACTAATTGGGCTTTCTAAATTTTGTAACGGATGTTCACTTGTGGGAGATAGTATCAGAGGGGATCCCGTTTTAAACGCCATATACTGCTTTTGGAGTTCTTGCAGGTTCTAAATTATGTTATAAGGAGATAGTCGATCTTCAAGCACTTTTACTTACAGCAATTTGTGCATTCAAATATGCTTTTGGCGAGTCTGAATCTAGGCAACGCATGATGAGTTGTTTCTGCTGTTGGATTTGTTGGGACAGTCTTCTCATCTGCTCGTGATCTTTTCTACGCCTACGACTTACATTGTGACAATTTTCTGTAGAGCTCGTAGTCGATTGGGAATCACTAGCAACTCCCTAGAAAAGTACCAATTCAATTATTGGCAAGTATACGAATAAATTCTGTTCCACAACTACCTACTACTAGAGTGTGAAATGCTGTTTTAAGTTTAAAGTTTTTTATTCTCTTTTTTACTATGAAAGATTCAATATGGCTCCCACTTAAATAAAGAAAGTTGCCATTCATATGTCAGCAACTACCTACTTGCATGTTATGTTGACATTGTTTTGTATCTTGGCCCTCTGGAATAAGAAAATCTCTGGTTTTTATAATATATGAAATGATCAACCTTGACCAAGAAGGTTCCTGGTTGGAGTTCAGGTTTGAACATTGGATAGGATTAGCTGCCTTAGTGGATCTTCCATCCATTTAATTAGTCAAAAATAAAATTTTCGTTGAAAAACTGTGGGGATCTTAAGAATAGATAGAGAAATATAAATCGATTCGCTCGGCATTGGTTTGCGCGCTCATATTGAGTGACAAGTTCGTGACAAACAAGAAAATTAAACATAAACAAATGTTTTAAAAAATGAACAAGTAAGCACCATTTAAATCCACAGGAATTCTGCAATGAGAGAATTAAGAGTATATTTAATACCTTCATATCATCTAGACTGGAAATATCACTCTCTTCTTGAAGTTGGGGCGACGGTCTCAGTTCCACTCCACTATCACTCATAAGCTGTTCTATCCCTCCCACACTTAACAAATGAGTCGAACAAGCACTTGTGGCAGTATGATATGTATCGCTACTTAACGTCGTCCTTTCCAAACTACTGCTACAGTTCACCTCGCAAGAGTCTGGGCTTTGAGCCGAATTCACCCGCTTTAAATTCAACGTCAATCTACAAACCTAGTAGAAGAATTAAGATTACAAAACAAATGAAAACGTACGATTGCTTCCGCTGTTCGATCTCCTGCAATTCCTCCTGCGTTCGTCGCGCCAAAGTCAACTTGAGATCCTTCAACTCTTCAACGTTTGAACTGCTCGTCGTCTCCAGTTGCTGTTCGACTAGACCGATAATTTTTTTATCGAGGTTCTCGACGGCCTCGCGACGATCTGCAAGAATCTGCATGCGTCGTTCTATTTCGGTTTGTAACCGTGTCAACTCCTGTCTCTGTAAACATTAGCTCTTAGCAAAGAGTGCCGCACTAAATATGAACACTAAGCAAATATGTGCTCGGGTTTGTTGAAAATTACTAAACCAATTGCTAGGGTTTCATGTCTGTCCATCTACTGTTGTGCTCCAGTGCCATTTTTAATAAATGGAACAGCGGGGTGTTGATCAATCACATTATACCTGTCTGCATTTAAATTACGTTTTATGGAAAAATATAAAATTTTTCAAAAAGTTTTTGTATACAAAATACTTAACAAAAAATATATACCTAATGTTGTGTAACCTACATGGGGGTGCCGTTTCTTTAGGTTGAAACAATGCCGAAGATGAGAGCGAGCCACCTTGTAGTGTAAAAATATGTGTTGTTAACATAATTTCAGACTGAATATCGGAAGAAGTGGTCAGGATACCCTGTATGTATAATGCAAGCTATAATAAGATCTGGGGAATTTTCTTTCAAATTTGTTGAATTGTCATTTTAATGTTAGTTTTTTATTGTATATTTAGTCCGTCATTGATTAATTCATTTAATTCTATTTGTTGTATTATGTTTGTATGATAAATCTAAAACGGATACTAATGGAGCATTTAATTGGAATGTTTACATTTCAAGCTTTATCTGGTCAGGTGTTGTAAAAAATTGTTATTGGAGAAAAATTAATTGGTTTTTCAACAAACAATGTCATGTGCAAGATAATCGATGCAGGTGTTTATCAGTTCTGGCGTAGAGAAATTTCGAGTGTCGTTGGGTTAATAACGATGTTGAATTGAGATGGTTTTTGCTTATATAGGAAGAATGAAGGGCAAACGAGGATGTCTCAGGTTATTTTGAAATAGAAAGTAAATCTCAGTGTCGCTTATATGGACCGTAAAAAAAGTACACACTGTATTGAGTAGCATTTTTTATTACGAATACGATATTCGGCATACTTCAAAAAAACAAAAGTTGGAAACTGTAGACTTCAACACGATGGTGCACCCGAGTAAAACGTCCTAATCATGCGATAATTCCTATAAGACAAATGTCCTGAAAAATCTCTTCCATAGGTATTCTGACTCAATTACGGCGTTGTGCGCAGGTGCACCATCGTGTTGAAACCTACAGTTTCCAACTTTTGTTTTTTTTGTGTGTGCTGCATATCGTATTCGTAATAAAAAATGCTACTCAATACAGTGTATACTTTTTTTATGAGCCATATAAAAAAATAAAGTTGTTGATCATCTTTCCAAAACAACACGTTGCATTGAAAATCTATCAATCGTATCTTGTGGAGCTCAAAAAGTGGCAATGAGAAAATGTTTTTATTTTTTATCTGCTCAAATAACATAAGAAAAAAGTAAGAACCAAGAATGACCGATTTTGAAAGCGGTGTAAAACAGGAACACTTATGGCCGGTATAATAAAACAATACTTAATTATGTTGTCGGCTAACAGTGTTGTTAAGGCATGTGATTGGATGTTTGGACAAAGAATAACATCGTTCTTTGCAAAAACATCCAATCACATGCCTTCAAAACACTGTTAGCTATGGCTTTATAATACCGACTTTTAGTTGAACAAAAAAACTTAAAGTACAGGGTGTTCTATTAATAAAGGTCACAGGCCATATCTATGGAACCGGTAATTGCACAAATAGCTGGAAATTATTTGCAAGTTTCTAGGTTTGCTGCTAGAGGGCGCACAAATCATAGTTAAGTAAAAAATTATTTTTTTTCCTAAAATATGCCCAACTAACGTGCATACAAAATATATGCATCTCAATCTTGTATGAATTTTGCATTATTTTGAGGCAGCACAAATTGCTGTAGCTCATAAAATGAGGGGTGGGGGAAAGGGAACATTCCTTTTACGAGTTGAATGTAACTGGGTATAGGTGAACTAATTTTCATGGATGCAGGGATATTTGTAAATGAATAGTGGGTTAGGTTGGTAGAGCAGTCTTGGTTGAAACCCCGCCCCTTCAAAATTAAAGGCCAAATAAATAAATTATTTTTTGCAAATAACTCCAGGAAGATGGCCTCTGTTTACTTGCACAGTCGATTCCTGCAGCCAGACTGCAAAATCGATAAATTTCGATTCCGATTAGTGTTGCAGTAGTTGCGAAAAGCACTACCTACTAGTTGGTAAGAAGTTCCGTGGGTGGGATACTGTCGGGTCCAACGCACTATTGTGACTGAATGCTATTTGGCGTCAAACGTTACTGTCACAATCCCTACCACCTTCCACCAACACAGCTTGATTGCGCGCTTTTCAAAATTGTTCGTTATTGTGCCTCACCCATTCATTCAACATTTACTTACACTTTGTATAATCTTTCAGAATAAATACCAAAACGGCGTTCCATATGGCTTCTATCTGTTGAAGCTCAAAAAAATGGTCCAAGTAAATGCGTATTTATATATATAAAATTAATTTTAAATATTGACAACACAACATACTGTATAACTTTAAAATCCACTGTAGAAATCTGTAATTTCGTCAGTATCGCCCCCTATTGATTAGTTTCATAATTTACAACAAAAAATGAACACATAACATAGCTCTTAGTCTTAATTCACGCAAAAATATACGCACGTGATGATTAACCAATTCCTGTATTTCTGAATGTGCGGTTACTTCGTTTAGAAGGGAAACTAAACGATTGGACTCCTCGAAAGATAAAGCACCTACCATTGATTTATCCACTAAATCCTGAAATGATACAAAATGTAAGAAATAATTCAGTTAGAAAGTAGTTCCGTTGGGGATTGCTCATAGCTAACTTCTAAAAGCGATCACTAAAGGCGTTTAGCATATTATACAAGTAAAAAAAATTAGATTATAGAAGGAAAAAAAAAGAAATAAAATACCTTAAAGAGTGCTTTACTATGAGAGTCAGGGAAAGTGATTTCATTGATGCATGACTTTATAAGTAAACTTGTCTTCACTAAGAGATGATTTAAAGTTTTCTGCTTTTCAGTCAGCACCTGAGTTTCCTTCCCTATCTAAAAATAAAATAAAATAAAACAACACAAATAAAACACAAAACATATTATAAAGGAGAAGGTTATGTTAAGTCCACTATTTTTCCAAATACGTTGTTAATACAGTTTTTATTTATTTTTTTATTCAATTTAATTTTTTCGACACATTGTCTTCGGGTAAGCAGATGATTCAACTTAATATTTTGTTATAGTTGCACATGTAAATGTTCCTGTTGATGGTAATTTTGCATTTAAAGGAACTGGTTGGCCCTCGTAACCTTAGCCACGCCAATGCACCAACTGATATTTTTTAATTTTATCAAAAATCAATAATGCTCAATACCTGCCCAAGCAGCCTGGCTCTCTCTTTCTCAAGTTCTTCCCTTTTAAATATCAGCTCTTGCTCTTTTTCTTCCAATTCCAGTTCCCGTTTTTGTTGCTGTGCAGCCAAGTTTCGCCAGTCCTCCTCTAGCTGTCGAGTCTATACAGATATTGTTACTACTTGAACTAATATCCACAAATTACCTGAGCTGCATGTTCCTTTGCCATATTACGCCTTTCGATTTCCAGCCTCAATTGCGCCTCCTCTAGCGTTTTCCTTCGTTTTTCGAAAGCCTCTTGCTCTTTCTCAAAATCTTCCTTTTCTTTGGCTAAGTTTATCCTTTGATTTTCTATATCGTGTCGCTCAACTTCATCACCACTAAGCAAACGCAAATTAATAAAGACACAGCTATTCTGCTGACTTACGGCTGTAGATTTTCGCAGGAGCCTCCCAAGTCCGGAGTTGACCAACTTAAAAGGCTCATCCTCGTTAAATTTAAGGAACGTTCACCTTTTCGAAGCTCCGCCGCCTCAGCAGGATTGTTAAATCTATACATCATTTTGAAACGTTAGCAATATTACAACTGTCTTACCTAAATACATGAGCTCTGCCTAAAAAGATTATACACCCCTGTGTCAGTCGAGCGGGAGATTCTATCAAGTTGCTATTCAACCAGATTTGCGCATTTGGTTTTGGGAATAAGGTCGCGTTTCCTTTCTCTAAAATAATACTGCAATGTTGAGGCTCCATTCCGGGACCTTTCAAGACAATATCTTGGTTAATGTTAGATTCATCAGTTCCTATAGTAGTTTCACCCTCCTTAAATATCAAATTGTATAACATGCTTGAAAATTAAAAGTACGACACCTTCAATTGGTACAAGGTAACACCTGTACTTAGAGGATCATCATCGATTGCAACTAGATGGGGCTTGTCGGAGTCAAGCACGACACCCGGACCTGCCTTACGCAACCCCAAAGCTTTCTGTTCGCGCAAAATCGCGTGTGCCTCCCTCCACTTACTCGTCCACTCCTCAGTCAACTCTTTCTCGCGCGCTTCCTTCTCATGAATTTCGGCCAGCATATCCGCCCTCTGTTCGCTGAACATAAGCGCTCGAAGTTTACTGATCTCATCGCGTAGTTCACGAATGAGTTTAACATTGGGATCTTCATTAACTGTCGGTTTATTAATAATATTCTTCGCACGATTTGCGTATCTAAGTGTACTTAAGGTTTCGCCGTAATTACAATCTAAAATAAAATAAGAAATTAGGTAAACGCTTTTCTAATGGAGGGTTTTCATTATAATGCGGCTTCCCTTATTAAAAATTCATCTAGGGAAAACCAAGGTGTGCCACTGCTTGGTCTCCCTAGAAATTGAAACAATGTCAAGATTTAGAATCAATTTACTTTATTTGTATTTTTAATCAATAAACACGTTAACCATTAGTGTCAATATTCTTTCAACATACAGTCCACTAATTACAATACAGATACATTTTAATTACATTTTCTTTGGAAAAATGTTTGAAGCAACAGGAAAATCTTGGGGTTCTTTAGAGATTCGTAAAAACAAACTGTAAAGAAGAAAATTAAAGAAACTAATTTCGAGATCAAATTTTTTTGGGCTGGTACCCTTTACCATCCAATTTTTACGTATTTATATGTGACAACCACTTTAAGATTAAATTGTAAAGGTGAACTCCTTTGCACAGGGAGGGTCACAAGAATCTGATAACATTATAATGATAAATCGAATATTTACTCAAAATTGAATTTATTGGTACAGAAACACTTGTTGTTATTGCATTAAAAAAAAAACTCCAGTTTAGTTACTTTTTTCCTTCAGCATGGAACGACATGTTCATTTTAAAGCTCGTTTTAAAGTCTTCATCAATATACATTTAAATTAATATTTAATTTTTACCTTTCTCTCTGTTTAATGTCTCCCTATCGTTAATTTCTAGCCTCGCCATTTTAATTTGTGTAATTTGCATTTTACCTCTTGAACCACCACTAAAGCCGATGGTCTCTAGTTTTATAGCCCTTAATTGAGTGTTTTACTAGCTTCTAGACTGTGCTGTACGGTGGTTAACAAAGAGGCGATCTATGGAAGATGGGAGAGATGTTCCTCACCCCTCAAGTGTATAAGGCGATCAATGCTAAGCAGCGATTGATACAAAAAAGGCGTTCGAAGTTAAGCGGCGGTCGATACGAAAGAGTTGGTGTATGGAAGATATTCCCAAAGACCCTACCGTTCTTGAAGAATGGGTAAGAAAATGTTTCACATCCAGCAGCAAACTAAAACGTGCTGCGCCCTCATTGGTCAAAACGGCCAACCGATGAAAGCGTAGCGTCCCTGGCCGCAAACGTTTAAAATCAGAGACACGAACTCTGCAAAGTGCAACGCAATTCCTGCTTTGCACTTCAAGAAACAAAAAGCTCTCCACCTGCAGAACCAGGTGGCCTTTCCAACTCGACCCCGCGCTACAGTATTAGCTGTCACTTCGGATACTGAATCACACTTTTCAGTTTCACCAAATATAAATATAGGTAGCATATTAAGATTTCGTCGAAATGAAGTGAACTTTTAATTAAGATTGCGCAAAATTTAGGGCCTCTCTTGCAAATTTATTTGTTGAAAACGCTGATTCTAATTAGAGGGCCACCATGGGGATCTCGGGATCTGTAAGAGATAGGTAGGTAGTTTAAATTTGGCAAAGTTGCGTATTTTGATGAAGTTTTGAAGCTGAAAAAATCTTTTTTTTATTTCAAAAATGAGTGGGTTGAGGAAAAGTGAGAATACAGCCCTGCCAAATTCACAAACTGGAGCGGTTTTGGTTTAGTGTCAAGAATAATAATTTGGTGAGTGCGTGAGTCACAGATGAGAAAGTCACACACTCACCGACTTTTCATGAGCGGTTCAAGAATAGGGGTCCAGATCTAACACATCGTTCAATAAGTCCCAGGACTAACTAAGAAACCAACATTTGTTTTACAAAATCATTTTTATTCCTCAACATAAACGCCTTCAAGAACTATACTAAGGTTACAGCTCATCTGTTTTAGTATAGAATTTTTGAACTGTAGCGTTTTTTTCAAGGTTTTTTCTATCACACGATTACTCCCACCGTGCTCTTCCTGTTTGTTTGCGTTATCTTCTTCCACATTTGGTTTACCATAGCACTTTTTTCTCATAGCTTTTATGAAATGGCTGCCACATTTAACTTTTTTTTTAAAGATCACTGATTTTTTACAAAAACAGCACTGATGCTCTAAAGGCACACCTTCGTGTGCACCAAAGTAAGAAAATTTTGAAAAAGCACAACTTTTTAGTTCTTGAAAACCATGTGATACTTATAGGAAATAGATAAAAAAATGTAATTTAACATTTTAATTATTACTACCATTTCTTGTGTTTTTTCCATATTTTTAAATATAAATGAGATATGATTCAAAAATTACCAGTTGAGGTAGGTCAACAGGGGAAATCGCAAGTTCCTTGGAAGACTAGGTTGAGAATGTGAAAGTTTTCCTACTTGGCCATACTGTACAATGTGAAAGAGAACTTTCTCAGCTAAAAATTAAAAAACTTGGGTTTAGAAGTACACTCTAGCAGGACAACCTGAACTCATTAAAATAATGTCAATGAAAATGAAAAAGGAAATTCTAGAACCTTATTGAAGAAATATGCACTGTAGTTTAGCATTGTGCAAGAAGTGATTGCTGTACGACTTTTTAAGACAAGTTCCCTTTCATTTTGGATTACGAGGGAGACAATAAAAACCCTTTAATCCATCATTATGTGCAGCCATTACTAATACTCTAATCGTCAGCAGAATTACCCATAAATATTATCGGATAAGTAATTAAAGCAACATTAAACCACAAATATTTTCTAAGATGAATTGATAGCTGATGTGCATAGAAAATATGCATAAACATTAGTATACCACAAATTAGGTATCACTTATCTATTACGCTCGCAAAACCACAGAAATACAACTTATATTGCCTACAGGGTTATTCAGATATTATTTATGCTATTTTCTAAGGACAAAAAATTTATATTACGTCTCACATTTAAAAATAACATTACCTAGTTACACACGCAATAAAATTGGAAATTTTCCAAAATTTTTCTTACTTACCCGCAGGACTAATAGCTGCAATCATAATTGTTTTAGAGTTGCCACCTAAACTGTCTTTTAAAAGCCAAGTAAGTACGGAATCCCTGTATGGAACAAAGAGCGATTTCCGATGGCCATTCATTTCAACAGACAATTCGGCTAAGCCCGAGATTACAGAACCCAAGGTGACCAACGACTTGTTTATGTGAGCCCCTTCTTTGAGACGTTCACCGGTAGCTCCAGTGGCATCCGCCCTTTCACTGCCAGCCAAGTCAACCAGATGTATCTGATGTTAAAATTTTTTCAATGTGCATGTCTAAGTATAATACGATACCTTTGAAACTGTCTCGCTTGGAATTCCGTTACAATAACCGGCCTGCACAAATGTAATTGTGAAAATGGCGTGGCTACGACTACTGACATCATTCATATTTGTAGCTGCGGTAGTTCGATGAGAATTACCTCTAAAGCACATAGTTGAGAATGTGAAAGGGTTAATCTTACTGTACCTGTTCATACACTCTTGAATATGGCCGTAGTTGGTCACGAGGCAAGTCGTAAGGCCTTCCACATAGGGACCCCTTTTTGGATGTTCGCGTACACGCAAGGAAGACCCATCACGCCCTCTTAGTAAATCGGCAACTCTCTCCTGATAAATTTCCAAGTAACTAACATGCACACGATGTGTCGTCCCTTTCTTAGAGTCAGCCGACATACGCTCAAACAGAGCCTTACATATTCTGGGTATTAAACCTTGGTTATCCGGAGATCCCATCATCGTAAACGTTTTCCCGCTACCCGTCTGTCCATAAGCAAACACACAGGCATTATATCCCTGAAATGCGCATTCGACAACTTCAGTTCCGAGATCATTGTAAACCATCTCCTGAGAAGCAAACTCGTTCGAGTCCGAGCTGTGAGACCAATAGGAATAATCAAACGTAAACTCCTTATACCTAATGTTCTCATCTCTAGCATTTGCCTAGAATTTTACACATTGAGTCAACTGGTTAGAATGAACAATTCCGTTACCTTGCAATTTAGTATGCCAGTTTTTTTACCTTTCATTTGTATAATTAATTTAGCATCCATATCTAATTCCCTAAAAGAAGAAATCGTACAAAATGAGTTCAGTGCACCAGTCAATAGAGCAGAACATCATTCTTACCTTTGATTGAAGGGTCTAACCCTAACAGCAACTTTCACAGATGCCATTTTTGTTGAGTTGTGGAGAAAACTAATGCTAAATACTAAGGAACATTATATTTCTAATAATAAATAGCGAATAACAATCGCAACTGTTCTGATAATAAAACATCTGACAACTAAATGTCATGTCAACAAAAACAAATTAAATTGCTTGGTTGCCAAGTTAATAGCTTTGCATGTTGTCATTTTAATGGCATATACAGGGTACTCCACCTATAATTCATTTACGCTAAAGGCACATACATAACCATACAAATTTTTTGAATTTTGTATGTAGATAACCTTAAAGTACGTAGGTAAAATGGTTAATGGAAATTTAATTGCTTTATTTTTGGCAAACTTTCACAACTATAGATGCTGGTGCATAAATCTAAGGCCGTATTAGACGATGCAATTTTTATTGCAATTTTTGCAGCAATTCATTGCCGCAAGAAATTGCACGAAAAATTGCTCCGTGTATGTTAAAATTGCACGTGCAATTTCTTGCGCCAAATATTGCAGCAAGACATTCTGCAATTTTCTGGTTATAGAACTTGTGCTATTTTTCTTGCAATTTTTCTTGCAATTTAGTAACTATTTTAGTAACATTTAATTTATAAAAAAAATAAAGTGGTATGCACTGGAGAACATTACCTCCTTATGCTATATACAGGTTTGTTATTTAAAGTTAAAACTGAAATAACCTATTTACGAGGAATTCAAAAATGGATATTGCTGCCGCATTTTTAGTTATTGCGTCTACTGTTGCTCTTTTAAAAAAAAAAGAAACAAAGAAGACGACGACATTTTTGGACCAGGCAGTGCCCTTGTCAATAACGATTTCACAAAGGGAAACCTAAACCTACTCAATGAATTTAACGAACCTGATGGCCGTTTGCACCGACATATTTAAGCCGAGCTTAGCTTAAGCGTAGCTTAAAATCCATGGCAACCATTGTCTCAATAATCGTTGCCATGGATTATTTAAGCTACGCTTAAGCTAAGCTCCACTTAAATTTGTCGGTGCAAACGGCCATGAGTGTGAATAAGTGCGTGCAAATATAAATAATAAATTGCACGGCCTTCAACAAAGGAAACGTCACAAAACACACGTTTCCTGGTCTACAACAGACGTGAAGTTGCTTTCAAGTATTTCCCAGTGATGCCAATTCCACTTTCATTGGCACCAATACATGATTAGAATTGGGTATAAAAAAATTGCCAAATAAATTGCATAGTGTAATCATTGCATCTTTTTGCGATAATTGCTGCAATAATAGCAGCAATAGTTGCTGCAAGGATTGCAATAAAAATTGCATCGTCTAATACGGCCTTCCTTTAATCTAGGATTGCACTTGCGACCTATCTTGTTCATTTTTTATACAGGGTGGTGACTTGCGTAACGCATCATAGGGATTTCAATGTAAAATTCATAACATGCAATTATTGGCTCCCCAAATTATTTTAGAGCAAAAATGTATTAAGGTTTTTTGTAGAAAAAAAATTTTTACGTCAATCAACCGTATTAGTTTTCAATTTTGTGCATAATAAAGACGGAAAATTGGAAAAATAAAACCCGCATCTTTTTCAATAATCTGCGATGCCATGGAATTTTCTAAAACCGTGGTGGTGAGCTGAAGAAAAGTGTAAAATAGGTATGTATATAGTAGCGTTTGTCAATTACATTGTTCATTACTGTTAATTTTTTGTGTTAATTCAACTATACTCTGCTGCTGTACCTGAGCAAAATTAAAAAGATTCTTTAAAATAGTTTCCTTTGAGTATAGTTTTCCTGAACGTGAATTTCACTTGGGACACGAATTTCCTGAAGGAATAAAGGGGTAAATATTAAAAAAAAAAGCATTTGCGAATACGTAGTAGTTCTTCCGTATCGTAGAAGTTCAACTCGTATTTACTTTCTCTTTTACCTACGATTCATTTGAACTTATTCAACATAACCTCAACTTTCCGTTATAGTTTAAAATGTGTGGTATTTTCTGTATGTTCGAAGCAAACTCGCACGATGCTGATAATTGTCTGTGCACGGTAATGCCTAATTATTCTATTCATCATTTGTACCATTTAACAATTCTAGTATAATTGCATTCAACCGACAGTCAATCGCAGAGGCCCAGACTACCACTCATCTGTGACCCTTGATTTTGAAAATCATAGCTTTGTATTTGGAGCGAGTGTGCTATGGTTGCAAGGTAAAGAAATGACAAAGCAACCGGTTGAAAATGAGCAATCTGTGTTCATTTTTAACGGCGATATTTTTGGAGGAACGTCTATACCTAGTGATGTAAGGAAGAACTTTGGAGATACGATTCCATTACTGCATCTATTGGAAAAATCGGAAGATGTAATAGACGATTTAATGAATCTACAGGGACCTTATAGTTTTGTGTACTTAAATAAGAAGCGTTCGAAGCTGTATTTTGGGCGAGATCCGTATGGCAGACGCAGTTTGCTTATTGGAATGAAAGACAGTGCTATTCTATTAACAAGTGTGGCAACAAGAATGTTAGATATAAAATGTGTGGAATTACCTGCTGTAGGTATTTTTACATACAGTCTTGAAACGGGCGAAGTGGAACTGCTTCCTTGGCCTTTTAGACATTCTAACTTTAAAGAAAAGGTTAGTGAACTGGAAACTATACTTAATAAAACCATTAAACTGCAACAAAATTTAGAACTTGCACATCATACATTTATAAACCCAACAGACAATTATTTGCAATATCCTCTACTTTCACCAGATTGTATTTTTTCAAATCTCCTAAATGATGCAAGATTCTTTCAAAATGTGCAGCAGCTCGAAGTTTTATTAGAAAAAGCAATTGAAAAACGCATTGCTACACAACCAGCATTTTGTCACAAATGTATTAAATCTAGAAATCCCTGTATACATTCCACAACAGGAGTCTTATTTTCTGGTGGTGTTGACTGTGCAATATTAGCACTATTAGCGGATAAATATTGCAGTAAACATTGCTCCATAGACTTGTTAAATGTATCCTTTAGTGGAAATGCTCCTGATCGTCAGACAGGCTTGCAGACCCTGGATGAATTAAAACAAATAAGGCCTGAGCGGAAGTGGAACTTTGTGGAAATAAATGTGAAGGAAAGTGAATTAAATCTAGAGAGAGAACGACGAATAGCAGATCTAATATATCCACTCAACACGATTCTGGATGATAGTTTAGGTTGCGCTTTATGGTTTGCCAGCCGTGGCCAAACTGAGAGCTATGTTTCACCTTGTCGAGTATGTGTCAGTATTGTTAGAATTTTGTAAATTTAGTTTATAGGTATTATTAGTAGGTATGGGCGCTGATGAGCTGTTCGGGGGGTATACTAAGCATCGTGCTGCTTTAAAACGTGGTGGATGGCAGGCATTGCACGAGGCCTTGGAGATTGATTGGCAAAACATTTCATTTCGTAATTTGGCACGAGATGATCGCGTGGTGTCAGATCACGGTCGGCAATTGAGGACGCCATATTTGGATGAAGAAGTTGTAGAGTTTGTTAGAAGTTTGAACTGCTGGGAAAGGTAACGTTCAAAATTTTTGGCAGGGCTGACAGAATACTTTCAGAACTTGTCCCAGTGATAATTTACAACAAGGTGTTGGTGAAAAGGTTTTACTAAGATCTTTGGCATATCATCTTGGGTTGAAGAAGGCTGCCTCTCTAAGGAAAAGGGCTTTGCAATTTGGCTCACGAATTGCTAATAGCAAAGAAAATGCACACGATGTATCTGCAAGATTAAAATTATAATTAAATTAGATTTTATTTGTTTGTTTTTAATACCTACTGTTTGGAAATTCGCCATTAATTTAGTTTCCAAAAAGAAAATTTCTGTAACAGGCATTTCTAAAATTCCATTTTTGTTGTTGAATTACCCAAAGCTTAGGACTCTGGACGCTTCATGAATGACAAACAAATACAATCCTGCATCCTCTGCAGCATAAGCAACCAACATCTCTAACACATCGGGCTCAGTCGGTTTCTTTAAGGAGGGGGGGGGGGCTGGTTTAATCCTTGAGTTTTATTGTAAGTTTACTAGGCATGCTTACCAAAAATTTTACAAGGGACTGGTGTTAAAGTTATACAAAGATTTTACCTTATTTTAGATAATAATATCTTGTAAAAAAGATGTACTTACTATTACAGAGAAGAACGCGCGCGAAAGTAGTTTGAGGTATTACTTTACAATTAAAATGAGAAAATTGAATAAATATAAAAAATAAAGAACTAAATGCTTGTACATTTATCCCTGCAAAAATACGACTATAGAAAGTAGCAGACTTCTTTAGTGACATCAGCAGTTGCAGATGACGAGGCTCGTGTTTATACTCATAAAGGTTGATATATGAAGGCAAAAATATGTAAGTTCTCTCTGGAGTAACTTAAAAAATTCTTCACTCTCAAGGAAAAACATGCAATGGCGAAATTTACTCCGTTTTTACAAGCATATATGTAGTACACAGAATTCTTTGTTCATAGAATTGTTTGAAATGATAATAAATGGCGTCATGCGTATTAAATTTTAACTGATATAGGGAGCACAGTAGCATGGGAAAGATTGGCACTTCCAATTTTTAAAAGGTGAAGAATTGAATAGGACAGTTTAAAAAAATATATTTAATAAATAAACCCCCTTTTTTTCTTTAGTATATTAAAAAAATTGACAATAAATCATTAATATATAATATATAACATCAAGTTAATTCGACAGTTGGCGAAATGTATATTTTAGAAATAACATTTTTTCCAATGACCAAAAGACTTCAGAATGTAGTAATTTAAAGATGTTACAGTTTGATCACCAGTCAACTATTGCCTGCCACAACAAACCAAGTAAGGCACCAGAAATGTTTATACAATGATAAAAGTTACATTGGAAAAAATGTTATTGGCGATATTTCTTTTAATTAGTGGCACTGATTCCAGGGTGGATCAAGTCTACAAGAAACATACTGTTACAATTTATTGCCCTATTATTTTATATACATTTTGTTTGGTTCTGCACGTCGAAACTTACCTAAGCAGATTCAGATTCACTGTCGGTTTCCTCTTCGGCATTCTGCAGCCATTCGAGGAAATCTTTCATCTGATCTACAAACATCATCTTTCCCTTTACGTTATAGTCTTCCCTGCACCACTTGAATATAACTGGCTCAGATATCACTTCCGCTTGGTAGAACATTACGATAATTTTCTGAAACGCGCGCATGAATGTCATGTTAGAGTAACAATAATCTTGAACTTTGAGCAAAAGACTCAGTTCTGCGCGAGCGTTTTGTGCAAACGCAGAAAATAATCCGGTGTATTGTTTTAAGTGACGAACGGCTTGATCGGTTACTAGCTCTTCTTTTTTATTCCAATCGGCCTGCGCCATTACAGTAGTCCATATAATACAAACAGTTTCGTGTTCTAAAATCAACTCACGAGTCGCAAACTCTTTTAGTTCGGTTATAATTTCGCGCATCGGTTTATTTTCTTGGAGACCATCCGAAAGCAAAGTTTGCAGCTCCTTTTTGGCTTGTTGCTGGTGCTGATCGTTGTATAATTTAAGAATTTCTTCGAGGCCGTTCTCTTGAAAAGCAGTACGGAAGTATGCATGCGACTGCTTCGTGTCCGGGATGAAACTCATCAAATGCGACTCAATGTTATATTTCTTAATCGCGGAGTGTAGAGAAGCTACCCCCTTATCTTGACGCCACCATTTAAATATGTCAATTAAAAAGTCAAGGGCCAAGTGCTCCTTTACGAGATGTGAATTATTCAGTACGACAACCGTGTTGAATGGGATGCTATTATTTGATATCCATAGGAATACCATGACGGACAGTTTTTTCCTATCTGCCGGAGTGAAGTACTTAACAAACATCAAAATTGTCTTTATTTCATCCTGGAACAAAAATCAAATGAGCGCGAATCCCTAAAATCTGAATTAAATTAAATGTTAGTCCAAGATCCCAGAGCCACATTAAACACTACTTATTTTTAGATAAATAAAACCTTAGAAAAACCAATGAAAATTAACTAAGTATTGCCGCCATTGCTTGCCACCTTGAAATAGGCGTTTTAAGTCAGCTTACTATAGAGGGTGGGGATGAGCTTTGCATGAAATTATTCTTTCTGGTTTTGGCAGTCAACCAGGAAAGAGAATTCCGCTTTATGCAAAGAAACAGAAAAAGGCCGCTTCCGACAAGTGTGTACACTCTCTAGTGAGCGGTATCCTTTACATGCTAGATATGAAAGATCCATACTTCCGTATATCTTATAGACACCATATTGGAATTTTACAAAATAGAGGATAAAAAAAATTCATTTGAATGGATCGCCATCATATCCATTTTATTGAGTAATTAACGTAAAACATTTGATTTGATTTTGAAATTTTTCTTGTAAATGTATGCACAGGGTGAGTCGACGATTGCGCGGAGTAACTTAATGCCTTGAAGATAAGATTTTTCGATAGTGCTTTTGTATTATAATATGGTTGAATATTCTCCGCATTTTAAAAATATTTGCAATTATACAGGGTGCGCCCACATGGTACATTTTTTTAAATAGAACCCCCTGTATTTGAATGCTTTTTTGAATTCTACGTGTAATTGTACGTCTTTTTTATTATATGGTTAATATCCGAAAAGCTAGTAGTTTTAAAGATAATTCGATTTTTAAGAAAAATTAGGCATTTGCAAGCGTCAGTATATATTGGCAGAATTATTACTTAAATTTTGATTCCAGGTTTTATATTTTATCCTGGGTTAAGTAAAAGTCAAATAAATACATCTACTATGAAACATTAAAAATATAGCTTACAGGGTGTTTCTTTGGTAGGTCCAAAGTTGCAAAACTTCATATTAAAAAATCTCACTTTTTTTAAATGGAACACCCTGTATATTTTTTGTCATCATTTAGCTCCTCCAAAAACCTTCAGCTTTTGATAATAATCTCGTATACCTATCTCTGATAGTTTTCGAAATATCTTGGATTTCCTGGGTACCAAAATATTTATGATTTAAAATTTCACTTCAGGCACCCACCCTAAGTTGAATAGTTACTATAATTAAATCTTTATTCAGATTGAACTGGAAAAAAAAATGATAATCCTGTCACAACCGTGTAATTTCTTCACCTCTTTGTGTATGTTTGTGTAAAACATCTGGAGATAAGAACATATTTCATTTTCAATATCAAGCCCAGCAACATATTGCAAGTCTAATCGCAGAGATAATGCAAAAAGATGGAAATTTTATCAACTCTAATCACTATAGCAGATAGCATGCTCTGTATACTTCACGAGTAACTTACCTGAAATATCTTTTCCAAGTACTTATATCGGCGCATAAGCTTTATAAAGACTTGTTCCCAACTTTTCATAATTTCTAAATTTATTTCGTCTGGTGAACTAAATATGCATGTTTCTGTCTTGTACGGACCTTCGCCTTCCTGTGAAAGGGTCCCGCCTGGCACTAAACGAAAGAAATTAACAAAAAAGCATAAATGGTCAATATGGTATTACCCAAGATGCCTCCAGCAATAAGTATATCAAAGAGACTGTCACCATAGCGTCGATAATCTAGTTTGCTGCCTGCTCCATCCAAATATCGTGAAATAGCTTCGAAATCGTTAGCACATTTATCCAGTCCAGTTATTACAGAATCTCGAAATCCAAGTGGGTCATATTTCTCTTTTTCATCTAAACAAAATACAAATGGTCAGTAACAAACTGTGAGTTAAGTTGAGCAAGTGGCGTACCTCTTTTTCTGGTCTTAATTCGCTGACCGGACAGAACTGGCTTTTCTACCTTTTGACTCATACAAAAATTTCTGTAAAAAATCAGCAGAATGAATCATTTTCAGCATACTGTATCATAAATAATAGAAAAGTTTGTTCATAATAATGAACCAAATCAGGTCAATGACATTCTTTGTACTTTGTGGCATATTTATTCAAGTGTGTGACGTGCCAAAAATTGAGAATAGCGGAAAATTAGTCAGCGTTACATTTACGTTCGAAAAAATAACGAAAGTAACAAGAAAAATTCTAACATTTGAAAAAATATTGCACAACACACATCAAACAGGAGTCCACCATTACAAATCCCAAACTTTTCGCCACATTTACCGCAATAATTACGGTTAGAAAGGCTTATTTAAGTATTTCTAACCAATCTCACAATTAAAATCGTGATTATTTCAATGGAACTCGACAATTTCGTTACTTACGTTGATGCTGTTAAAAAAGAAGCACACCTTCACAAAGTTTAACACAAATTCAACACTCGTCAAAAGAAAGTGCCGAGAAATAAAATGCGACTGCGAAATACAACCGGAATCAATAATCAAACAAAAATGGCGGGAATTTAAATTGCTTTGACTAATTTTCTTTGAGAAAGCGCAATTGGTCACTGTTTCATTTCATTTAAATAGATGAATTGAATACCTATTTAATACTGAGCGCATCTGCGGAATAACAATTACAGAAATAATTATTTTTCATTTGTTAATCAATTTTAAAGCTAATTTGGTGCCGTTAAGAAGCAACGGGATTGTATTGCCAACATCAGTTTAGTGTACAGGGTCTCCAAACTAAACATCCAGTGATAAAAATCATTGTATTATACGAGGGCTGCGCCAAATATTCACGGCCCGACTACGAAAGAAACGGCGTAGACTAACAATTAAATTTTATTTTTTTAATATAGGTTCCCCCAATTAATACATTAATTATTAAGTCGCTTCAACAGCAATTCCATACTCTCAAAAAATATTCTTTCGGGTTGTTCTCAGAATGTGCCTAAACGACAGCTTTCTCCTCTCTTAATTCGAATTCGTGACTGAAATGGGAAAATGTCGTTTTTATTCACATTTGACTTCAATTATCTCTTTAACTACTGCTCTGAGAGAAAAAATGAATAGAAATGAATTTGTTTATAATCGAATTTTTTATATGCAGTTAGTATGGAACGTTCATTTTCAAATGTTATTGTTTTTTATGGAAAAATGTAAAATCAGTAATCCCGAATATTAACAATTGGTTATTACGAAGAAAACCCTCACAAAATCCCGTAGAGGATTTGACTTTTAAAGCGGAGAAAAAATCTATACGTTTGGATGGACTTGGGAAATATTTACGACCCTTAAAAAGGCGCTTAAAGACTTTTGGAGACCTATCACACAAAAACAACCTTTAAGGATAAAAGGTCTTAAAGGTACTTCATAACAAATCTCATAAACATTCTCAAGGCCTTTCAAATACTCCAGAGCCCTAAAGCCAACAAAAGCTTTCTAAGCCTCTACTAGAAAAGACTTCAAACTGTTGGGGTATCTATGAATGAACTCTTAAAGATTTTCGTAGGCTCTTAGAAGATTTTAAAAGCTTTTAGAAAGTGTAGCCAAATTTAAAAGGTTCTTACAGACCATTAAACGCACTTGGATATCTATATAGGTACCTCGTAAAACAGTTTAAAAGCTCTACCCTAAAAAAGTATTAAAACCTCTTAAAGAGCAGGAAAATATTGTGTAAATTATTGAAAACTCTTGGAGAAAAACATTTGATGACTAATCGATATTTTGACAGACCAATAAACTTCTTAAAAGACCTTTAAAGTATCTTACACATCTTTAAAGGGGAGGGGGAATAAACACACGTTCTACCCATCATGGTATTCCCCGCCCTTATTTCTAACCCCTTATCAAAATAGAGGGTTGGGGCGGAATTGGCTACTCTAATTAATGGTCTTAACGAAAGGAATTAATTTCTACCATTTCTCCTCCTCGACCCCTTATCAGGAACGGATATAATTCCTTATATATCGAAAAAGGTTTGTCGAGGGAAGGTACTCACGAAGAGCGATTGTCCCGTCCGGAAGAAATCGTTGGTGATGAAATATCTCGAAGACGATTTGTCGGATGCATGAGAGCACTCACAAAGGCAAAATGAATCGTCTGGACGAGACATCTATTGGTGAAGTCGAACCGAATACCTTGAAAACGAAATGTTGAAAGAGGGTACTCGTAAAGGGCAAGTGGAACATCTGGACGCAACATATCTGCTGGTGATGTCAAAACCTTCAGTGCCAATATCTGCAGGGGAGGGTACTCTCAAAGAACGGAAAGACCTACTGGCGATATAAAAACTTAATTGTGAATAGCTCTAAAATGTTGGAGGAAAGTATCTACAAAGGGAAAATGCCCTCTAAGGGCTTGATTCTTTTTGCATTATATAACGAGATTTTGAATGTATACCATGCGACCTCTAAATGTTTATTTGTAAAGAACCCCCTCCTCCATGAGAAAAGGTAATAACAAATTTAGATACAAGTTCTGGAAATCGTTATAATTTATAAAATTCTAACAAAACTATTTCGAAAGTTTGCAATTTGGTGAGCTTAGGTGGCATCGATGATGTCATTTTGTTCCCTGTACCGAAATAAATAAACTAGCGTAATTTTAATTATTAAGAGAAGTTGTGGAATATTACGTAAAACAGCTAAAGTGCCACAATAAAGCATGAATAATTTGTGGTTAAATGTAAACGCTAAGCGACTATTTGCATGAAAATTCCAATTCTAATGGAAACCTTTTTTCTGCTGTTCCATTAAATTTTATGATTATTGCAATTTATTTATGTCACTGTAATCCAAAACATGGAAAACAGATGCATGATGAGATTATAATTTTCTTCAAATTACATCTTTTATATTATAGCATTGAATAAAAAATTAAATAGGTAAGTAGTTAGTAAATTTCAATGAAAAGTACCTACCGTTCGTAATATACCTGGGAAAACCAAATATAGGTATGTATTGAGCGTTCACTTTGTTCTACTTATCGAGCAATTTAAGTGTGGTCTTTATTACCAATGATTGTTGAACAAACATTTACTAATACCATTGTTTATTCATCAAAGCTAATACCACTGTAAACAATGCTAAAACTTACCCAAGATATCTCCACAAAACAAGGAAACAAATCATCATTTTATACTTAGGCGTAACAATGAGCGCACCAACAATGTTGCATGTCTTAATGAACACCATCATAAATGAATATTTTGGCAATTCCTATTGCATTATAATATTAGCGGACCAAACGGGCGCTTTGAACTATCGTGGTAATATTCCAATAGTTAACATTCACCCGATAAATGCGGAAGTAAACGACTCCATAGCTTACCACGGACATGGTTGTCAGGATATCGTGATCGATCACGATGATCCCCTAAAAGTTTTTGAAAGTTTCGAATTTAACCTCCGTTTACATAAGGCTCGCTTCAATTTTAGAAGGTACTTAATACCCGCTGGAGATATGTCCATATTTAACTCGACCAATTTGGAATATGTGGTAAATCTTCTGGTGATAGTACCAGATGACACCGAATCAAACTGTTTCAAACTCGTCACTCATCAGTACGTGGGCCAAAGTGGAAACAACGATCCTCGAATTCTGGACTATTGGTTTGGACATAACCAAAGCTTCTTGCATGGAAATGATTTGTTCCCAGATAAGTTACGCAATCAGCAGGGCCGAACTCTGCGTTGCGCCACATTTAATTATAAACCCTACAGTATCATAGGTAAGTGAATATGCTAAAATTTAACGTTCTGCTTCAGCATAAAAATGTAGAAAACTCTCCACCAACTGCGGTAGGCTCTGAAAATGCAATCGCACACGTCTTCGCCGAGATGCTCAACATGACGATCGAGTATATTGTTGATGACAAAGAGTGGGGTATTATTTATGATAATTGGACTGGCGATGGTATACTAGGACATGTAGCTATTGATAAAGCTGACATGGGATATGGTATAACATAACCAGATTAAACACATTATCACACTGATTTTAGGGGCTCTCTACACGTGGGCGCACGAGTATCAGTTCTTGGATTTGTCCAAACCAGTGGTACGCACTGGAATTACTTGCCTGGTTCCAGCACCTAGGTAAAATAATAGCATCCTAATCCGACACATATACTAACCGTTTCTGCAGGTTAGCAGATGGTTGGTTGATTCCATTTTTTCCATTCAGTTTTCAAATGTGGTTATGGTTTAGTGTTACCTTTGTGCTATTGTCACTTGCCACGATTGGGATTACGGCATACGTCACAAAACACCATCTTGAATAGTACTTTTATTAAACCAATGGAAGGCTGCTACTAATTCTACAAATTTCAGCAAGCATCACAACTCCAAAGGGAAAAGGAAGGGAACGATTAATTATAGAGTAATATTTAATCAATCCATGATAAAGCTCACCCAAATTTTTTTAATACAATCTCTCTCTTTCCGCGGAAGGGCTATAGATACGACATTCAGATATTTGTTTCCGATATTTTTATATAGTCTCATCATAACTGCGACATATAGCAGTGGATTGGCGGCAGTGATGACACTCCCGAGGTACTATTGAAAACAATACCAGAACACGATAGGCAACCTTTCCTTCTAGATACATAGGAACAATCGATACTGTTTGGAATTTAGCTAAAAGTGATCTGCGTTGGGGCGCTACGCAAGATGCATGGATTTACTCAATTCTAGAAGAGAAGCGCGTAAGCGTCTTTGTAATTTTATACGGTTCGTTTGCAAAATCTCTTTTAGCCTCAATATAAAACGCTACTCAACAAATTTGTTGCGACATCCAAGGAAAATTTACTAGGTTTCGCCAAAACCAATCGATTCGCATTTTCCATTGAAAGACTTCCATCAGGTACGTATAAGGTTCTGTTCGTGCCATAGTTATATCCACTATTGGACAGGTCAATTTGCAATTGGCAACTACATCACGGAGGACATAGTCAAACGTCTACGGCTAATGCATGAAGATTTGTATTGGGAATACTGTGTGTTTATGGTAAGAAAAAGTTCTCCACTACTAGAGCCTTTGGATACGTTGATTTTAAAACTTAACGAAGCTGGGCTAATTCTATTCTGGGAAAAGGAAGTAAGTGCATGAAAGTGTCTCTGTAAGAGGCACTAATTCTTGTTAGGCTGTAGGCACCCATATGGATATGAGGGTTCAAAAGGTGGTGGCATTTTATCGAGCTTCGCAAGTGAAACAAGCTGATTCGCCCGTTGTCAAATTAATGTGGGTTCACGTTGAAGGGGCATTTGGGATATTATTTTTTGGGTTGCTTTTTTCATTTGTATGTTTTATTATCGAAGTGGTTTATAAAAGAAAAGAGTATTTTCCACGTAAACCATATTTGGTGTAGTGTAACGTAATTACGTAAATAATCTGCACACATTGAAACTAGAATTGTGCCTGGAAGGTGCCAGGCAGTAGTCAAATTACCAATAATTATGAGGAATAAGTAGGTAGATAATTAAAAACACAAGCTTTCTTAAATGAAGCAAAATATTCCATTTGCAGAATGTGTCATAAATATGTAGTACCTACACAAAATGGGTGGTAGAGAGGGCACCATATAAAAATATAATGCATGAACCATTTAGCTACGTGATAGTCCCAGTTGAATTGGAAAGAAGTCCTTGTTTTGGTCTCTTTGCAAAATGTAAACTTTTAAAATAGAAACTGGTTACCTTACCTACAATTAAATTTAGAAATGCAAAATCGATTCGCATAATATTTTCTTATTATCAACTGTCTCTTACTTTTTTCCACAGTTGTCTAGGCGTTTTTAACCCTAGAAAATGCATAAAATCCTCTTGAAGTAAGTGGGAAGGGGGTAAAGTACAGGTGGTAAAAACTTCCAGAACAAATATACGATACTGTTAAAAGTGCTAGAAAGCTCTGGAGAGCAGTTGAAGGTTTAATCAGATTCCACGAGGTTCTTTCCATAGTCCTCTAATGCTTCCTAAGCAAGTTTCCTTCGTTACAAAAACATTATATTAGATTTTTTATTTTTAGATTATTTGATCCTTTCTGGGGGTTCTAGGCGCTTTTTGGATTTTAAAAAGCTCACACGCTCCAAAACGTTCTGGAACGTCTTCGAAGCTCTGGAAACAGTGTAGGTATAGGATTTGATTTAGGTTTGCTTTTCAGAATACCTTCTGTACAGGGTGGAGCGCGGTAAATTGCTTTTTTTTCGAATATTTATAAGCGCTATACACACAGCGATTATCTAAATATCTACAGGCAAAAACATGCGTTCACAATGTTGTTAATTAAAGTCTCGTACGGGAGACACTACCATTCATCTGTGACGTTACATGAGATACAAGATAACTAAGGGATTTAATTTATAGGTTAACAATTAATTTTTCTTATATCATACGTAAAAAAAGTACTTACTTTTACCTGTTACTTTTTTCAAAAATACGCAATTTCGAACATTGCAATGAAATAATATCCATACGTCTAAAATGTTTTCTCCAACCCGAAGAGTTACTTCCCTTGTAACAGTAGTGGTGGTATGTATACTCTTTTTGAATGGGTCAGTCTTTAGCTTTGAAATCTACAGAAACAACACCCCTCTCATAAACTGCTGAACAATGCCCCTTCTCAAATCTTATCACTTAGAACCAAATCGTCTACCCCTCTAAATACCGTGCTGATGTTCGTTCCACAACAAGAAGCTTGGATTGTCGAACGTATGGGAAAGTTTCACCGTATTCTGGAGCCCGGTTTAAATATTCTGATACCGATAGTGGACCGCGTGAAGTACGTCCAAAGCTTAAAGGAGATAGCAATTGATGTTCCTAAACAAAGTGCGATTACTTCTGACAATGTCACTTTAAACATTGACGGTGTGCTATACTTACGTATCGTTGACGCATATCTGGCCAGTTACGGAGTTGAAGATCCCGAATTTGCAATAACTCAACTCGCGCAAACGACTATGCGTTCCGAACTCGGAAAAATATCTCTGGATAAAGTCTTTAGGGAGCGAGAAAATTTGAATGTGTCCATAGTGGATGCTATCAACAAGGCTAGTGAGGCTTGGGGAATTACATGTTTGCGTTACGAAATTCGTAGGTCATGGTACAGTATTCAGTAGAAAACTGTTCATTTCGTTGTAGGTGACATTAAATTACCGACGCGTGTGCAGGAAGCAATGCAAATGCAAGTGGAGGCTGAACGTAAAAAGCGTGCCGCGATTTTAGAGTCTGAAGGTGTTCGTGAGGCGGATATCAATGTTGCTGAAGGTAAACGTCAAGCCAGAATTTTAGCATCTGAAGCTGAACGGCAGGAGCAGATTAATAAAGCCACTGGTGAGGCATCTGCGATTCTCTCTATATCGGGAGCTAGAGCTGAAGGTTTAAAGAAGGTTGCACATGCATTACAAGGACGCGAAGGTTCTAATGCTGCGGCTTTAGCTGTGGCAGAGCAGTATGTGCAAGCATTTAATAAACTGGCAAAAAATAACAATACGTTAATCTTGCCGGCTAATGCAGGAGATGTGTCCAATATTGTTGCTCAGGTGCGAATTAATGTTATGTACTTTACATGTTTAACACTAATTTTGATAGGCTATGACCATCTACCACCAAGTGTCCCAAACCAAGAATTCCACATCTTTAGAAAATAACTCAGTATTGCATCGTACATCATCTGACAGCCTTGCTGAATACTTAAGTGATGATGAAAATCCAAAAAGCATAGATTTAGAAAACTTGAAAGAGAAATAAATGTTTTTGTTTTAAAATATTAAATTGCATTTATACTTATTTTTATGTTTTTTCTTATCCAGTGTGATGTTTGTAGAAATCTCACAGATCTTTACCTGGAGATTGAAAGTGAAAAAAAAATCAAACATTTTCCATAAGATAAAAATTAAAAATGTATCCACCTACTCGTAGGCATCAACAAATAATTCTCAAATGTAAAATAACATTTTACTACGTATAATTTCAAATTTTGGAATATTTTTCTTACAGTTGGAATACTACCTAATGGTGGAGCGTTAAGTATACAAATATAAAAAAATGTAATTTAAATGCTTTAGTAAATAAGAAAGTTGGCAGTGCGCATGTGCAAAATCAAATTTTGAAACTGGCGCTAGATTTTCTTTTATTCAAATCAAAGCTCTTCAATGGGGGTTTACAGTATAGTTGAATTCCGCAGTTCTAATTTAATAAGCGTGTACCTGAAACATTCAGATGACATAACGACTTGGCAATATTGCAGGAGAATGGCATTTATAACTTGCGTCATCTGTCACAGGCACTTGTCACTTTCGTGCTAAATGCAGTTAAACATCCCTCTCAAAACGTCAAATGTGACAAACGTCAGACCCTCGCGTAAGGTTGCCAGCTCACTTCTACGTGATTGGTTGTAGGTTTGTGACGTATTTAGTCTGAAGCGTTTCAAATTCGGACTAAAAACACAGCTTTTCAACAATTTATTTTGGGTTTATTTTACTCGCAAATAAAAATTGAGGACACACGGGTCTTTTTATTTTTAATATACTTTGTGGATCAGAAATAAAAAATGAAGGCGGGATGACCCCATTGCGTTGTAAATTATTTATATTTTCGAGGAAACACGTCCGAAGGCTTTGGGAATGAGAAATAAAGGTCTGGGAAATGCCGGCTCGTGTGGCGCTGCACGCGGTACTAAAGGTCCCCTGGTTCGAATCCCGGTTTGGGCATGGATATTTGTAAACGCATAGTGAGTTGGATTGGAAGAGCATCCTTGGCTGAAACCCCGCCCACTCAAAAATAAAAAAATAAATATTCTAAAAAAAATTCCATTGCTTCTTCCTGAAAAGTCATTCAATTATATAATATTCTGAAAAATTTAGACGACTTTCCGGAATCTTCTCGAAGTGCTTTTCAGGAACGTTGAAGATTTTTGAGAATCAATAGACGGACGAGTCTATGGTAAAGAGAATCCTAACATTGAATTTATAAGTTATAAATTCAATGATCTTAATTAATAAGAAGTATGGTTTCGTTGAAATAGTTTTTGTTGAATGTTGTAGCCTAACCATTGAAATATTATGAAGCAGTGAAGGAAATCAAGAAGCACGATATAAGAATATTATACCCATACATTAAATAAAAAATGAAGTTTATTCAATGACCCATAGCATTGTATATTGTATGTATCACAAGCACAACGCTGCTAAAGTGATTCTCTTGCGTTGCGTTGTTTTCCGACAACCCCCTCTACATGCCCACTACAATAAAAGATACAAGTGGCAACACTGCTTGATCTTTGAACTTCGACTGTCAAAAACATGTGATCCCCAAAAATAGAATACTCTATAAATAAAGGTTATCCTTTTGTAATCTTTTTAACCTTTCATATCTTTTATTAATGATATCTCTAAAGGAAACTCTCACAATAATCAGTTTCAATGTGAATTCAAACAATAAATACTTTAAAATGAGTTATGTGAGCGATCTGTCACAGTCACAGGAATATCTTAGTTTCAGAAGTAGCGTACCTTTAAGACGAATAGTCGTTGACACAAACAATTCCAAAATCGGATGGAGAATATTCGATTCCGGTCCAAAAACAGTACGATGTCCTCTTGTGTGCCTTCCGCCCGTCTCAGGTACTGCCGATGTTTTCTTCAAGCAAGCCCTTGCCTTATCCGCAAAAGGCGTCCGGGTAATTTCCGCCGAAGCTCCAGTTTATTGGAACATTAAGGAATGGTGCGAAGGTTTTAAGAAACTGCTAGATTATTTAGAGTTGGATCGTGTACATCTTTTCGGAGCTTCATTAGGTATTTAGTCTTGTCCCACTAAGTTTACACACAGTTTGTTACCACCCAGGCGGATACTTGGCTCAGAAATTCGCGGAGTATTCGTACTTATGTCCTAGAGTCGCATCTCTAATTCTCTGCAATGCCTTCACGGATACAAGCGTTTTTAATAATCACGATTCGGCCGCATTGTATTGGATCTTGCCAGGGCTCGTACTTAAACGTATGGTCATGGGAAATTTCAGTTCTGGAAAAGTTGATCCTGATATGGTTGACGCAATCGATTTCATGGTTGAAAGGGTAATGTTCCCTTGTATTTGTTCGCAATTGTTAATGTGTACATTTTTCAGCTGGAAAGTTTGCCTCAAGCGGAGCTTGCTAGTCGACTTACTTTAAATTGTGTTAAGGGGTACGTGGAAGCCCACAAACTCGCAGAAGTGCCAGTCACAATTGTCGATGTTTTTGACGAGTACGCTCTATCAAATACTGTTCGTGAAGAGTTATATAAGTGTTACCCATCAGCCAAATTAGCACATTTAAAATCGGGAGGAAATTTTCCATATCTCAGTAGATGTGCAGAAGTTAATTTACATTTATTGGTAATGCAGTATACTAAAAGCTAGCAGATGATTCAAGCAATGTGTTCAGCACAGTGATGAAAATGCGTAGATTTCAACAATTTCTGAAAATGTTAGCAATGGAGACAAATTAATATGCAACAAATTTCCAGGTTATTGATGGAGATGGTTGCAGATAACTGCCAGACAAGTTACAAAAAATGCTGCTCTCTAGCACACTCATTTGATCCTCTTACGTTTAATTACATATAAAATAACCCAGTGAAGTGGAAAATGCAGTGCAATAGAACAGCATCATTTCAGTTATATGAGAGATATCCAGCAAGAGTAATGCAGTTTCTGAATTAAATCTTAAGAACTATATACGGGATAAGTATGTATTGAAGACCAAAATGAACAGTTTTAGAATGCTATACTTTTTGTAGTATCATTGGATACTACTACTGCTGGATTCTTGGAGATTTGTTGGCTACTCCTTTAGACTCACGAATGCTCTTAAAAGCTAAATGCATAGACTCATCATGATGTTAAACTCACAGCCTTTTTGCATGTTAGGCTCTAAAGGATTTTAAAGGTTCCAAAGACCTCAAACACAACAGAAACATTCCAAAAGCTGACTTTAAAGTTAGGTTCTCGTAAAGACTATGATAATTGGTCAAAGCTTCGTTTCAACCTAATGATTATCCTAATTCTTAATTGCTTGGATTATCCGCTAGCTCTCCGACTGCAAGTATTGATTATACATTTAGTGATAAATTTGCAGATACATCTAAGACAGTTTGACGGTACACCGTACTCGGCTGCCGACCGCACCCTGCTCGAAAAGACAAAGTCTTCCATTTGAAAAGTAATTTTAAAGACTCGCAATACTAATCGATATACCTAATTATGTGTGTGAATCGGACTGCCTAAATACTACGAGCCAATATGCGAAAGACTCGAATTGCGATCTAAGACTAACTCCCAAAGATATTCATGTACATTTTGTACAAAGCCCGTATCCTGTAGTTTGTAAAAAGATTTGATGTGATAAATAGTGATTGTAGATTAAGAGTGCCGTATTTTGAAAAATTTTGTATTACAAATATACATGTCATTTTAATATCTATTTAGGCGATTAATAAATACATTTTCTCCATTCTGGTAAACCTCTGAAACTAAAGCGGTGAAATTTCAACATTTATCATCTTGGTACTTACAGTTTTTGAATTTCTTGTAGATTTGCATGGTTTGTGAATGATCCGCTGTCTTTTTTTTCTGCATGAGTTCTCATTATCCATTGCTGTGTCGGTTTCAACAATCTTAGTGGATCTCTCGGATAGGACTCGCGTTTCTTAATAACTGGGGAAACCTTTTTTTGTGGTTGCATCATTTGCAACTTGTTTTGTATAAATATCTCGTCTTGACATTGGAATTGTTTTATTAACTTATTCGCTTTAAGAGCTCTGAAATACTCAATGTGGAAGTCTGGGATTGTTATCTGGTCTTACCTTTCCTTTTGTTCTTTCACTTCTTCTTCTTGCTTTTTGTACAGTTCATCTCTCTCCGCCTTGTTTTTTGATAGTCGCCAATTGTGCACTTGTAATCGCAACTCTTCTTGTTTCTGCTTTTTTAGCTCTTCAAGTTCTTTCTGTTTTGCAAGCTCTTGACGTTTCTGCTCCTTTTCGTATTCTGTTTTCAAAATTTTCTCCTTCTGAAATGTCTCAAATAATTTACATTATTACACTTTGTGCTACCTTCCAAGCGACAAGTTTTTGTTCAACTTCGCCTTTTTCTCCACTTGCAGAAAACGACTTACGTAAAGTGCATTGGTCGGGTGCAGCTCGCTCAATTGCTGACGAAATTTGCTTGTTGCTCATCTTATTTGTTCGCCAATGTTTAATAGCTTCCTTTTGTTTCTCCTTCAGATCTAGGTAGGTTTCGTACCACTTCTCGTGGGCTACCACTGCTTCTTCGGAAATATCTTAAAACATTCCTACTAGACAAAGATTAAAAATATAATATGCACCTGGTAGCAACATGTGTATTATTTCTGCCACTCTCCTCGGGTCTTTCGTTTTATTTTTTACTTTCAAAAATAGCGCGTGGTCATCGGCGCTCCATCCATTTTCGTGCCCTCCCGTTGCAGCAACAAAATCCATGAAGTCTTGTGCTTCCTTGCAGATGTTTGCTTGAGTGTTAACAGCAGGGCGTTTGAACTGTGGCTTCGAAGCAGAGTAAGTGGGACGGTTTTCCCATCTTTCCAATTTATCTTTGAAGCTTTCAAGCTCTTCATTATACCTTTCCTCTTCTTTTTTTAACTGATTTACGGCTGTTAGACTGAGATCTTTAACATTTTTAATATTCTCTTCTATTTCAGTCATATCTTTTCTAATTGCATTGACATCTATTAAAAAAGCAACATTATTAACTCCACTATTGGTCATCACCTACCCAAATTTTGTATATTCTCTTTCCTCAAAGATTTCTTCGTCCGTCTGAGTGGCACAATTATTTGAAGTACTTCATTTTGAACTTGCTGTTCATGTTGGGCCCTAATATTAGACATTGATACCTGTTCGATAAGATACTAATTACCTACCTTGATTTAAGAGTTTTTGTATAAAAATCGCAAAACTCTTTGTGTTCCTTACATTTTGATAAATTTTCTACTAAACAAGTTTCGTATTTCTCTAAATGATGCTGAATGTTTTTTAGTTTGTTAATTTCAGCTGCAAAGGATGACATTTGTAAATGATTAGAAAATATTGTATGACTAACCCTGTGTTGGAATTTGAAATTGTTTGTTTTGAGGGAAGTCTACAGTAACCAATAGCAACAGGCGATTTTGCGGCAGCTACCACGGTGGCGCTGGCGCGTATTGTGAATTTAATAATAATAATAAGTAACCACACGCAAAGTGTGATAAATCTGATACTGCTATCTCTAGATTATAGCTGATAATATAATCTTTGAAAGACATGTAAGTTCTTAGAGACCGAATATACAGAAGGAGATACAACAGGAAAAAAACAGATCATTTCACAACATTTTATAACTGCACGTTCTATACACAAAATATATTATAAAAATACTATGGCATCATAAAAGATAAATAGCTAAGTATACATTATAATATACTATACAAATCACAAGTCATTATGTAAGTAGAGCTGCACCAAAGTCGATCTAGTCAAATCAACAGAAAATCTTAACATGGAACTGTCACGATATACTCGCACAGGCTTTTGAGTGCACCTAATGTACTTGTGAATTGATATCACATCTTTCACGACAGCATGCGTTACTACAACTGACTGTTCACTAAACAATCTGTATACATATCGTACTTTATTGTCATTATTGTAACTAACATCTACATTCTGCAATGTAATAGGCTTACGTCTAGCTGAATTGTCAACACAAAAAGTTTGTACAGGTAAACTAATTCTATCAGGCATTTTCTTACTGGCATTAAACGTTTCATTAAAATATATAAAGTGACCGGAAGGAACTATGAATTCATTCAGCTCAAGGGTAATAGAATTATCAGAGTAATTTGCTGTTCGAAGTATGCAATCCTTTTCAACAATTGTGCGAGACAAAGCACCTTCCGTTTTAGGGAAATTCCATGATCTGAAATGCGTATTGATACCCAACCGATTTGATAAGTTGTGCACAATCTTTATTAAGCGATGAGGAATATTGCTCTGGTAAAAAATGAAATTCTCTACACCTACAAGTTTATGATAGCTTAAAAACTCGACGAAAAAACTTTTATTAAAGTCGGTAGGTGAGACACAAATTACCGTATTTACTTTTTGTGTATGAGCTCTGGACACAGTTAAGTGCACCTTTTTCAATTCCCCAATTTTCTTGTTTTTGACGGCGAAAGACACAGCATACGGTTTATGAAGGGTTGTAGTTAGTGAGCAGTAATAGAAGAAAGCTGTTTGTCCGTTCACCTTATCATTTTCAACTTCGGCATACCTAAACTTTCCCGGGGTTGGTTTCTCTTTATCTTCAAACCACAAATAACAACTTTTGGCAACCTCAGCTTTACCAGTGTGTAACACAATGGCCTGTGCTTCATAATCTTTGTTCCAGAACGCAGAGTAAATGTATATGTTCTCAGTTTCTTGCCATAAGGATTCAGGACCCCAATCGTGATACCCAAGTACGTTTTCGGACGTTTCCAGACTGGAAATGTTGCATGGCTTTCCAAAAAAGTTAAATACTTCTAGCACGTAGTGTAAGCGATTATATTCATGCCGATAAACGAGAAGCAACGATACACTTACAACAGTGATGATTAATAGTAAAAGTTGACGGTATTTTTTCATTTTGATATCATTTTTGTGTGATGTATGGTAATTGTTTCAATTCACTATGGTACAATTTAAATCAATGATAATGATAAGTTCAACATATTTAAATAAAAACAAATAAATGAGGTTAGGAATGTTTTTGACATCAATTTGCTCTACTTTGTACAGAGTGATTCTGAAAAAAAGCCTTCACTTTAGTTCATGGGCTGTATACAGAGGACATAATTTCTTCATCTACAGTTCTATTATAGGTATTGTGTCATTTGTGTGTGAGGGTAAGGCAGTGTAGTGTTTAAGCACCTAATCTTGTACGGATTTTTGTGTTGCCCTTATGACTTTTAGAGTCGTTTTAGCCGAATGAAGAAGCTATATAATTACCGCTCTAAGACTTAGATCTCCTATCTCGCGCGGTTTCGGCTTGTCTCCGACGAGCCCCGAGGTCATTTAGTCTTTGCCCGGCAGGAGGACCTACACCTCCACTTGAAAAACCGTGGCTTTTTGTCCCAGTGATTCCGAAATTCGGCAGTATGAGCCGCTGACCGTCTCTGTTTTGAACAGTCTGTGAACCTCTGCGTAGAGAGAGCCTTTCCTAAAGGTGGGCTTGTTACTTTCCCAATCATCCTTTTGTGTAAGGTATGTATACTGTATAGTACCCCTAGGTTGTGCTTTATCGGCATTGTGTCCGATGGGAATTCGGTCACCTCTTTTGCACAATCCTCCTCAAGAATGGCTAGAGGTGTCCTACTAAGCTCTCCGCAAGATATATCTTGGCTCTCCGGTTTGAACGCCTTGGTTCGGTGCAGTGCTACAGCGCTTCCCATCGCCTGAGCGCTTCACAAGTAAGTGGAAAGGCGCAAGGCTTAACAGTGCCTCCATAGCGGCTGTGGGACGGTTGGTTAAGGCTCCTGTCGTACTTAAACAGGCTACCCTTTGTATATGCTGCAGCTTTTTTTGATGCAGCTGGTTGTGCCCAACTTTTGGTCACCATATGACTGCGGCATAGGTGATCAGGCGTTTAATGATAGCTTCATAGGACCATTTGGTCATTTTGGCGTTAAGCCTGTTCCTGATGAGTAGCCTTTTACAGGTCTGGGATGCCCTTTTTATCACCTTACCCATGGGAGTTCCACGTTAACTTCTGGTCACAGTTCACTCCCAGGTATTTGACTTCTTTACTAAGATCGATGGTGGTGTACCCTCCTTCCTCTTGCTGGTAAAAGGCACCACCACCGTTTTACCCTTAATGCTTAGGCTGTAATGTGTACACCACCTCTGTGCGATGTTCAGAGCCGTTTGCAATTGCTCAGATACCACTGTATTGTGTTTCCTAAAGATTACTATGGCCCTTGCACATAGTAACCTTTTTGTGTTAGCATGTTTAGTAGGTCATCAACCACAAGTGACCATTGTAAGGGCGATAGTCCCCCCCCCCCTTAAGTTAAGGGCACCATCTTTTTAGTCATCACTATGACTGATTCCTCGCTAAACCTTGCCATTATCTTCCTGCTCCTCAACATGGGCTTTATTCGCTTGTGGAGGTGAGGCCCTTGTTTCCAGCGGTCGCTTCAATGGGGAATGGCTTCATGCGAGGTGTCGAAATTACCCTCTACATCCGCTAACGCGGTTAGGTCGTCTCTGTTGACATGGACACCTTTTCAAGTTTTTATGTTAAACTATGTAGGGCCGTGATTGTCGATTTTCCTTTTTGATGGGCGTGTTGTTTGGGGGCATGTTTTGTTAGAACCTATTGCTTCTCAAGACTTGATCTGAAATTTTTTCCATCCCCTTCATTGGTAGAGACAAATGTGAGCAGCAATAAGACACAGTTTCTACTTAGAAATGTATGGCTACTTGGCTAGTGCTATACTTGTAAAACTCTTTTGAACGTTACCAACACAAATGTGCTTCATATGTATATCAACGGCTGGAGAATGTAACCTAGAGCTTTGAATACTGTTGAACGCCATGCAACTTCAAACTATAACATAAATTTAACTATGTTGTTTATTTATTTACAAATACTTAACAATAAATATATAACAGCGTTAAAATGGGTTAATTTATAACAGTAATTATTATTTATAGGTAACATACTTGACACAATCGCGTCGATGTTGGAACTGAACTTGAAACACATTTCGGTTTGCTTATATAAGAAACAACATTCTTTCTAGAATTTTTTGATGTTCTTGAGTGCTTAATGATTTCTAGGAAAGGTTGCGTCACATCCGCCTTCGTTCTTGATCGCCGATGACTATCTTTCATGACGCCTCGATGTCTATCGCAATTTTTGGAATATTCGTTACAATACTTTCTCTTTGGCAATACCAAATCAAAACCTTCATCCTGCAAAAGAAGAAGAGAGGAAATAGAGTTTCTGGGTCCAAACAGGTCTATTCACATGTAGTGCATCTATACTGTGAATGTTATTGCTTTATTCCTATGCGGTCATTTATTGAGTGGATGAAATAAAACATTTGGAAAGCTATACAAACAAGGCAACTGGAGGAAAAGATACATAAACTACGAGTTGGTTGTGGCACAGAAAAACGTGCATTCACTTGACCTTCAACAAACCAGTGGAGTTACTCAAGTAGGTATAATAATGATCTTCCATCTCCTAACAATAACCTCACAAGGAGCACTTTTATTATCCCTCTCTTGTTTTGGGCCCTCAACAGGCATGCGCCCAATTACAGAGTGACCCGCATAATGCTATTTAGAGGTGCACTTCGACAGGAATGGAGAGACCAAAGAAACTGGCCAGACTTTGTTGATATTTTTGGTGTTCCTTGGACCATGATGTGGATAAAGATCAGAAAGACGTATTTGTAATAGAACAATAGTTATAAATGTCTCAACACAGTCTTTTATCTCATTTTCGGGATTTCAGTACAAATTAAATATATAGGTCATTCTTAACAGAGTTCATCGACGAACACGAATTGAATTGCGCGACTCGTTTTAGAAGCTTTTTTGTATCGCCCCTTTAGAAAGAATTTGTAAATGCGTAGTAATTTAAATAAAGTGTTTGAAGCCTGTTCGACATAATTCATCGTCGATTAGGAACAGGGCACTTACACAGAGTTAAAAATTGAATCAGGCTGATTGTTAAGAGCGACCGGAATGCATTACGCTGCTATTAGGTTGCAAACGTCAAAGGAACGCTAATGTCTCTAATGGTGCGCATTGTGTCTAAATCCTTCTTCTCTTCAACCAATAAGTAAGCCCTTTTTATGTCCTTTAAAAGTAATTTCACTTCTTTATATGGAGGGATTTCGTTGTTTAAAGCGTTTTATCGCAATTTTCGTGTGAAATATCAGAAATTGCCAGAAAACCAACTTACCTATAGACAGTCTATCATGGTCAAGCAGTAAACATTTGTCAAAGTCTACGACTTCCTAAATGCGTACAAATTTTTAAACGACGAAAGGAAATGGCTCGGGAAATGGTATTTCAAATACACCGTGATGAAGAAATTAAATGCCCATTTTTGGTGAAACCTTGGAGATAATAAATGTAACCCTTTATTCCGGATAATATTCAGGGTGTTTCATAAATGTCCGGCAGAAATTCTAGGGCATGTTCTAGAGCCTAGTATACGGGAAACGGCAATGTGAACAACTATTGTGAAATTGGTCGTTGATGGAATGACAAAAAAAGGCGACTAGGAAAACATATTGGAATTTGAGAACGGTAAACCTCTAGTCTAGAGGGAACAAAGCCCAGAGTGATTGGAAAGGGTTACTACTTAGTTATTAAAACCTTTAGTTATGGAATGGACTGCTAGAGTGCAATTGAAAATTAAGTAATCTTTTGAAGACTGTCACACTTCAGCTGGTGTTATATAAAACTTACTAGGTAATCCAAAGACCGCGTATTAGATCTGAAGGAGTAGTATACAAATAGCTTCTGAACGTTGTAATCAACACAGATACCTACAAAGTTTTATTTTAAAGAGCACATGGGTCACGTCAAAAATAATTTTTGGGATAAATTTAGCTTTGCCGCATATATCCATATGGTGCCATGGTGGCAATACCTATCTATCTAGTTATGCAAGTAGGTAGTTAGAGTGAATTAGATTGTTAGTAATTATTAATAAAATTAGTGTATTAGGGCCAAATTTTAGGCCGATATAGTTAATAACGAACATTTCCAGCATTAGATTAAATTTCCATCGATATCGATCAATAAATAAAAAAGTTATCAATGTTTATTACTTACAAATTTTCAATAATTTTAGAAACGTTTCCAAAATGGCTTGAACATTTTCAAAATGTCTACAGATTTACATATTTCTCAAACATTTCCAATTTTTTTAAGGATTCTTAGTAATGTTCAAATTTTCTTGCATTTTTTCAGCATTTCCTTCCAATATATTATGAAAATACACGTGTTAGGGCAAAAATTGCTAACTTTTTTATTTAGTGTAACATTCACTTTGGGTAAAACTAACAAAATTACCTTGAGGTAAGCACACGGTGAGCTCAGGCAAAGTAGCGGTGAGTCGGGGTGAATATCGGGGTTCTTATACACCAGCAGAAATAAAGAAAAAGGGAAATGCAGTAATAGTAAAATGGATATAGGAGCTGTCTTCAGTAACTTTCAAAAGAGAGGAGAGAATACTTACCAAAAAGGGGGAATAGTCGAGTAAAATTAGAGTAATATTTGCTCAAACCTAGAACAAATTCGGGACAATAAGCAACCGATGTCCGAAATTAGTAGTACCAATAATGCTCTTTAACATACTAAAAGTCCCCATATGTCCGAGGTGCGGAACATCCTGAAAATTGCGCCGCCATCTTGGATTTTCATGTTTTTTGCTAATAACTTTGTTATTATTATTTTTTTCGGAAAAAGTTAGGAAAGGGAATTTGTGAAGCTTTAAAATACGAATCCAATGCTTCTTTATTTCTCGAAATCGATTGGAAACTAAGGGAGTTATGATTTTTTTATTGTATCAATAATCGCACTATACACGAATAACTTCGCGAATAATTCGATATTTCCGATAGGCGAAATTCATTGGAACTTTATAGACCAAAGAGTCAAAGACTAATTATTCTTTATCGATTCAACAATTTTCAGTCCATATTTTAGTTTACCGCCCCCTCCTGGGGCAATATTTTCAAATAACTACCGAA